CGTGGCGGTTAAGCTCTGCCATTATTGGCTGTAAATGCCGATTGAGGTAACTGTAGATCCGGGGAAGGTTGTATCGCACACCAAACAGTGTGGTCTGGGACGATTCATGACTACCTACTCTCGCAGACAACCCTTTCTTTCCGTTCTCGTCGAGGAAAACTATCACCTTTCATCCTGAACGGGGATGCCGGACGAGAAGAATCCCATCCAACAGATCTGGATGGGTTGAGCAATGTTTAACCTTGTGTGCCCAGTCGTTAATGTAACGGGCAGAAGGCATCTCGGGGTTAAAGAATGGGGATTGTCATTGATCGTTCGGCACATGGGGACAAAACCCACCAGTCAGCAAAAAGTACCTGGCTAGATCGGTGTACATACATACGACAAATCGCTAGTGACAGGCGGCGCCGCGTGGCTACTGGAGATGCACGACATTCAGGCTCTGGAACCTTTGGAGAAGCATCTTTTCCACACCCCTTTTGCCCTGTCAACGTGGAATCTCCATCCCTTGATTCGTCCACCTGCTTCAGAGCAACACGTTTTTTTTGCGACTCGCACTGGTTAGGGGGTCCATTCAGATCCCTACCGGCATCTCCACAAGATTCGTGGTATCGTTTCTCTCCCTCCTGGTAATCACGCTGCCACTGTCCTACCGGAAGCAGCCCTGGAGTTTTTCCAAAGAAGTGTAAAGCAGACCAAACTTATACTTCCGAGTTTGAAGTGCTTTGTGACAGAAGGGGTCTATTGCACTTTCCACCACCGGCACCAAAGGCATCTGGTTAACAGGGGCAGAATACGTGCGCAGACTAACCTAGTTCAGTCTGACGACCACTTCCTCTCCATCACAGCGCCCGATGATCACGAATCGTCTCATCTGCTTCCTTATCACCGAATGAACTTGAAGCTGCAATTTGCCACAGAGACGGCTAGGCCTGACTCCCGGCTCTCCCTCCCACGTACATAGACATGGAGCGCACTGACTAGAGGAAGGTACCAGGAGATGTTGTAGACTTGGGGCGCTCAAGGTACCGGTAGCCAGAAATCCGGAAGCTCGAAGCAAGCAACTACCATGTGTGATTCACTGTTTTCACAGCTGGCAGCAGCGTTTCCATGGTGTCGAGGGGTGTGCATATAGACCGGGCCTCGATTATATGCGTGTGCTAGTGCGGACATGTTGAGAGCGATTCCGTCATATCTGACCATGTTTACGCCCAAGGGACAGACATGATGCTACAGACCGTTCCATCGTTCAGAAAACGGACGTCTTCCAGCCGTATCCTTGAGGACTGCTATGCATTGTGAGTGTCGGATGGGAGAGGGCTTGCACCGGCTCTCACAGCCGCCGGGACCCATTATGCTAGGTTCTCCCAATTTCGGACTCCGATGGGCGGGTGTCCGAAGATTTCGAGTTCCTGCCCGGGTTGAAGTGGGAATTGCACTGCAGGAAGCCATACTGGATGTTGAGGCCGTGGGAAGAGCGCTTTGCGTCGTACCTACCGGCTCTGAGAAATGTCTTTTACTCATCCCGGTCCACGTTAGCTCTTTCCCTACGCAATTGGTGATCTGCACTAACAAGATGCAAGTTCATGCAAGTCACTTCAGCGGATCATGGTACCTAACGGACATGGCAAAACCGGCCGTGCGACAAAGTACACCTTGGTCTCGGGTACATCCGCATATGATAGTATCATCAATGCGCTAGAACGCGGTCATGGCGTCGGCCTCCCCCTCCCTTCCCCACCATGCCCACCATCGCGGCTTGTGCCAGGATCCTCGTTAGCGGCGTAAAGAAGACTTCGCTGCAGGTAGTAACAAACCGGACATCAGCGGGCAAAAACATGGCGGATACAGTAGACACCCGCTGCGGGTGAAAATCTGCTCTGGGGCTGGTCGGTCCCCGCGTCGGACGATACATCGGCGCACGGTAATATACACGACAGAAAGCGAGGAGCGGCGCGGTCTTTCCCAGTTTTTACGTTTTTTTAGCTTTGCTCTGCCCGAAAACTTAAAACTCCACCACATTTTATTCCTCGTCCTCTTTTTTCACCTTTTCTACACTTATGTAGCAAGCACCCCCTCCACCTTTCTTCCCCATCTGCTTTCCGCTCTTCACTTCTCTTTCATTGGAGTCGTCTGCGTTTGCTTTGCCGTGTGTGGTGCACATCTCCCGAGGTTTTCATTCCTGCCTTACTCGCACCAAAAGTCCTCTTGGCTTTCGGCTTTCTTCGATTATTTCTCTCGTGCTTTGCGGTTGTTTTCCTGTACCGCCAGCAAACCCCAAAGTCGTCGTTAGCGTCGTGACAAGGTCCGTATTCCATCCCCCTCCTGCTGGTGCCTGTCGACGCCATGCTGAACTGGCGGCTCCCATAGCAATTGGTCCTGTCCCTCCCTCCAGTTGGAAAAACACGCAAGGACACTGCTCAGCTTCCAGTGCTGTTAAAGAGTAAGTTCAACTACTTGACTATGTCTTGCTTCCAACCCGGTCTCGTTTCCCCTTCTCCCCGTGCTCGCAAGCTCCGTGTGCCGTGGCAAGCGATATCCTGTTCGTCGGCGTGGCGCCCGGCGAAGCTCGGCTATTATGTGACTGTTCCCAAGCTCTCTGGCAAAGAGCTATAGGGCATCTACCGGATTGGCCCATCCAACAAACCACTTCGATTACACGCGATTCGAAGACACGAGCACTCCTTCAGAGGTCCAAGGGTTCCCGAACTGCACTTCCCTCTCCGTCCTCCGACGTCATCCCGAGCTCCGATCTCCCAGACCTCGTTACGCTACCCACACGGGCACGCTGCGACGCTGCCTCGATAGAATACTACGTCCCAAAGCGAGAGATGGAAAACAATGAATGAAACCGGAGGCCCTTGATAATCGAGGAGGGAGGAAAACAAAAACATGATACGTGGAGATCGGTGGGCTACGTCGAGGACCTCACATGCCAAGAGATCTTTCTGTGTGTTCTCAGGAAGAATGGGTCTTTGGATAGTCCGTTGGAGGAATTCGTGGTGCCCACGCCCTCTCTCAGATCCTTTGCTGCAGCGATCATCTCGTTGGCCTTATCCGTGGGCAGGCAGCGAAGACTCATATCCCGGCTACCAACATCTACACTCCAGTCGGCGAGACTTTCTACCTCCCAAGTCTCCAACGATCTCTTCGCGGCCTACACGTTCCAGGCTTGGGCCACAACGGGACGCCTGCCACTCGGCGTGTGAGACGGTGCACGGGCGGGCTTTCAAAGAGATGGATCAAGAATGGGACTCAACGCTATCTACATCTCCAAGGCCCACGGCAAGGAGATGGGCAAGTGGTCGATCTTGACGCCGCTATGCCGCACCCTCCGATACCAGGTTCTTTCGTCTTCCGTGGCCCACGACGAGCTTGGCTCAGCAGTGGCTCTAAGATGATTCAAGTGGTTGATCCGCCAGTGGCCGGCCTGGCCAGACCCACGCAAGTGCTGAGACCGTGTGCAAAGGACTTACTTTGCATAATCCGAGCAAACATTGAAGTTGGGATGACAGAGTTGCCAACGGATGCCGCCTTCATCTTGCACGGACCGGCCTATATAAGCTATCTCGTATGTTTACTAATGCTCCGACTTTCGCAGGTCTCCGCTGTTCTTTGTCTTTCGTCCGGAAATCTTGCCGGATACAGGTAACCACCATCTTCTCGTCTTCACAGTTTGTCGTCTCATCACGGCCAACTCGTTCGTCATAGTACGTTCTTGTTAGGCGTAACGGTACTCTAAGTAGCGCTCGATCCGACTGCAGCTCAACATATTGCTTGTTGAGTCCACTTCCGCCCGACACCGGTGAGTGTCTGCCTCCTTCCCTCCTGTGTTTGTACTTCCTTTTCATCCCATGTGGTGAGCACTTGAGCACATTAGGTGTTTCGCATTCTGGGCCTCTGCATGTTGGCAGAATCCTATTGCGTCACAGACGGCCTTATTGTGTGTCTCTGCCTTAGAAAGATCAGGCAGCTCATTCTGGGTGTCGGGGTATAAATTGTCTCCTCGAGAGTCCTTCTGGCCCGGATCGTCTCCTTCTCACAACACTCGTCAAAGCTAACAAGATGAGACGTATTCAGAGACGCGTCACGCACTTGCGGCACATAGCGCTTACACCTAAAACTCGCAGCAACACGCTCGCCGAGTTAAGCAACTTGTAAGTGTAGATCTTGTTGTTTATCCCCGGCCCTTGCTATCCCAGTTTTCCTGCCATCTTCCCAGCTGCTTGCGCGTGCTGCGGGCGCGCTTGCGCAGTCTGGCAAGAGGGTTTTGTCTGGACTCGGCCGAGTGACTGAGCAGTGCCCACATCTTTGGCAAAATATCGGGACCGCAAAGCATTACTCGAAAATTTCTCCACTCTGGCAAACTTCCATCCTTGTCCTTCACTCGCAGTTCCTGCCTTTGAGTTCTACGTACCCTACCCTATCTACTACTACCGCCTTCCACCTGCCCTGACCTCTGCCTTACCTTCCACTCTTCCACCTCAGCAACCCTTGCCTTGCGCAACCAACTTGCTGTCGACGTGGTAAGGCCTCACTTTGCACCTTTCACCACTTCTTTTTCTTCTCAAGAAGAATACCCTCGCGGTTTTCGTCCTTGGATCTCCCCCGCCCCGCGTTCTTTTTCGGGTACGTTTGTTCATCTCCAGGACAACAGCCCAGAGTTCGGACAAGGACGAGTCCAGTCGCTGCCCAGCCGTCTACACTTCTTGCCATCTCACTCCAAGCTTTGCGCTTATATCTGCCTTCCTACCTTGCCCATACCCACTTTCCCCCAGCTTCCTTCATTGTTCCCGTGGCAACAATCCCCTCTCTTATCTTTCTACTTTGGACCCTTCTGCCAGCAGTCACACACGTCTTTCATCTTCCCCGCTTCGTCTTATACCTCATCATTCCTTTTTCGATCTTCTGTCGCATCAGCCTCACCACAAATGTCACCTGTCGCCGAGATCTCATGCTCTCGTGTCGCTTCCTGAACTAGACTGACAGCGCAAAGGATCATGGCCGATTACACTGCTCCCGGAGCCCCCGGCACCAACAACGCCGCTCCTGCCATGAACGGCAACTCTGAGGCCAACTTCCAGGCCCCCACCGCCCTTGTTCAGCCCGGCAGCAACGAGGCCAGCAAGACCCTGTGGTAAGTAACAAGCCGATAGGCTCGCCTTTTACCTTGTGTTCACTGCGGCCTTTTTGAATGAGATCTGACTTTGGTTCCAGGATGGGCGAAATGGAAGGCTGGATGGACGAGAACTTCATTAAGAACGTTTTCACCACTGTCCTCGGCGAGACCGTCCAGGTTAAGGTCATTCGCGATCGCAACTCTGGGTGAGTATCTCCGCTATCTTTACTTGGTCATCACCTTGCGTCATATCGCTGCTGTATACTGACATTATCTGACCTACAGTAACGCCGGTTACTGCTTCATTGAGTTTGCCACCCCCGAGGCCGCTCAGAAGGCCCTTAACCTGAACGGCACTCCGGTTCCCAACAGCAACCGTGCCTTCAAGCTGAACTGGGCTTCCGGCGGTGGTCTGATTGACCGTCGGTGCGTACATATTTGCTTCCTATCCTTTGTGACATGTCACTAATAGCAATATAGTGATGACCGTGGCCCCGAGTATAGCATCTTCGTCGGCGATCTGGGTCCCGAGGTCAACGAGTTTGTCCTCGTCTCGCTTTTCCAGTCTCGCTTCCCGTCCTGCAAGTCAGCTAAGATCATGACCGATGCCATGACCGGCCAATCCCGCGGCTACGGATTTGTTCGCTTTTCAGACGAAGGAGACCAGCAGAGGGCGCTCGTCGAGATGCAAGGCGTTTACTGTGGCAATCGTCCGATGAGAATTAGCACCGCGACTCCGAAGACTAGGTTAGTTCTTTGCCCGTTTAGACTTCTGAATCTGGTCCTAACACTTCTTAGCAGAACTCACCAGTACGGCGCTCATGCCCCTCATGCTGCCAATGCCATGATGGCTCCTGTCCCCGCCCACGCGGCCAACCTTCAGTGGGGAGTTCCCCCCCAGCCGTACTATTCCGGTTTCAACCCGATGCAGCCCATGAACCAGTTCACCGACCCCAACAACACGACTGTTTTCGTCGGCGGCCTCTCCGGCTACGTCACTGAGGACGAGCTCCGCTCCTTCTTCCAAGGTTTCGGCGAAATCACCTACGTCAAGATCCCTCCCGGCAAGGGATGCGGTTTTGTTCAGTTTGTCCACCGCCACGCTGCCGAGATGGCCATCAACCAGATGCAGGGATACCCGATCGGCAACTCTCGCGTCCGTCTCTCCTGGGGCCGCTCCCAGAACAACTCCGGCGTCGGCACCCCCTACCGCCCCGCCCCCCCTCCGCCTCATTACATGGGCCCTCCTCCCCCGCCCGGCCCTGCTGGTCCTTATGGCGCTCCCCACTTCGGCGGCAACGGTGGACCGCCCCCGGCTTTGGTAGGCCAGCCCTCTTACCAGTATACCCCGGCTCGTTCCCCGGCTCTTCTCACGGTCCCCTCCCCGGCTGCTTTTACGGCTCCTCCCCCGGCTGCTTTTATGGCTCCCGAGCCTTTTGCGGCCTACGCCGCTCAGCTTACGGGCCCCCCGCCGCCCCCTCCCGCGCCTGTCCCAACTTACGCAACTCACTACGCGGCCCCCCCGACCCCCCGCCCGGCGACCTTGGAGGCGACTGGACGTCACCACCAGCACCCTAGCAGAGTTGCTAGTGGCAGAGCCGCCAGCCACCATACCAGCAACGGCCGTATCACCAACGGCCGGATCAGCAAGCCCAAGAAGAATGGACCCAGTGGTTCATATGGCCAAGGTGGCCGCTTCTTCCGCCGCGGCGGAATGAACTGAGACTAGGGAGCCTTACAACCTCTGGAACTCACTCACCCCAAACGACCCAACATAACAACTTTTTTTTTCATTCAACAACCAGTTCTTTTTTTTCAACAACATTTCGGCCTGTGCTAACAGAAAAATGATAATAGTAATGACGCTCTGCCTATGCTTATGGTTGATCATCGCTCGGCGTTGGGGTGTGGCGTACCGGCAATCAAAACGTCCCCAGGTAACCGGTTGGCTTGAGCCTTTCCCATCATTCTTCTCGGTCCGATAACCACGACAAGGTGGCCACTTTTTGCTCGAGTTGTTTGTCGTTTGGGGGTTTCTTGTGGGCGTCGTACGGGTCTTTCTGGTCTACTCTACGAAATGGCGTGTTGCGCGGAGTTTTTCAAAATGATCATGGCTTTTACGACGGAAAGAGGATGTGGTCTAGTCTCAGAATTCTTGCTTGTCAATGCGTCTTTAGATTGGTTTTACGGCGAGCATTGTTGCTTTCGTTCATTTCAGCTGGACGATCGAGCGATGGGAAGATTTTCCGCAACCCAGATACAAAGATATCTTGACAGATTCCTCACGAGTTAGCTTAGGTTGGCTTTCACAGTTTCCTGTGCGTGTGGCGGATCATTTACGGGTTAGCATCGCTAAATCACTCCACTTATTCACTATACTTCGTTTCGTTATGCTTTCTACTTCGCAATGTTTTGTCCTTTGTTGCTCTGGGTGTTTCGCTATGATCTCCACCGAGCTTTGCTGTGCCCTTGATCTTGATTATCATTTTATGCTTCTAATGCTATGCTTGATGTATCGTGCGTCGCTCCCCTCATGCTTGATGTTGATACTCGCAACCAATGTTTCCCAAGCCCGAACCCTTCCCATACATGGCTGTGGCTGACCATTTACAGGACCGATTCTTACTACCTGTGTCACGATCATCCATATCCCGGAAACGAACTACCATCTATCCATTTTGATTTTCGCAACATGAGATGATTTGGCGTTCCGGCAGATTTTTACTCAATCATGTCTATTGTGATCATGGTTGAGCTGCCCCTTCCACTGATATCTGCCGCGGACCGTACACTCTAATGCTTCTCTAAGGTGTTTCGAGACTTCAAAAGGGGACCCATCAAGAAACCCAATTACCATCAACACAAAGAGCTAACTTGTCATTTACTTCGCGTACACCACCCCTTTCTTATACATGCACCAATCCCTGTACGACTTCCAGGCTCATTGGACTGGCTCGTAAAGGATTTGAGCGGGCCAGGTATGATTGGGAATTGATATGGGGATTTTATTCAACCAAAAAAAGAAGAAAAAAATCAACTTGGGCAACGATGACAAATAGGTGCAGGTACTCATATGAGCATATGAGCTTATAATTGACTGGTAGGTCTCAACGCGGAACTCATGTCTGCCCTTACTGACACGGATTACTATAGGGACGGTCGGTATGGAGCTCGAAGACTACTCAGTAACCCTATTTCACTTCACCCGACATTTCAAGTTGCTCTAAACTGCCCTCCTAGCTCCAAGTGCCCAAGGACGGGAACAAGATAGGTACGTTGAGAACATTGTTGACTGCAGTGCTTCAATTTTCCTGCTAGTTTTTCCTCCGGTTACGCCAACAACACCACTTCTACTTACTCGGGCCCTCTCACTACTCTGGCCTGGCACTGGGCTCCTCCCCCGTTTAACTTGGAAGGTGCCTGCCTACACCGCACGCCAGCCTTGCCAGCCGGTAACAAAGCTCCGGGTTGAACGTCACTGCGCTAAACTGGTGATAACGCGTCCTTCGAACTAACCAATGGGAATTAAACATGAATTACGTTGTCCCGCTACCTGTAACCTGCCTTTCCCACTCCCAAAGTCCCGTCCAGTTCTTTACCGCCCTGCGGCCTGTGGCTCATATCTCTGCCTGTCCTCGAGCCCCAGATCCCTAGAGCCTACGTGATCCCGTCCGATCACTTGTGATCCACAAGATGAGTCTTTCGGTCCAAGTATATCGCGAATTTGTGACTCTGCGTGGAATGGAAGGAGGTAGAAACGCTTTCGTCTGAAGTTGGACTTGGGCTGAACACCTCTTGCATATACGTAGAAGCCAGGCCGAGATAAGAGGAAGAGACGAAGGGGCCAGACCGGGGTGGGGTTCATTTGACTGCCCCTGCATGAACAGAACCGCCCGGAACTGAAGTTCTAGAACATTTGGGAAGGCGGGTACAACAATTAATGGGAGGAGGAGCAAACGGATTCAGGCCTGGCCGTTAAGGTCCCTTTGGCTTTGTCTACAAGCTCAAATGGGGTTTCCTAGGCCAATGAAAGATGGAGGCTGGACAATTACAGTGGAGTGGGAAAGCTGTGGTGACGGGAGTGATGTGTGCCTGCCTGCTGGTCTAGCAAGGAAGGAAGGCTGTTGAACCACCTGCGCCTGCCAACTGCGGGTCCGTTAAGGTCAGTCGTGTGTAACCAACTGAAGACGACCAACGATCCAGCCTCGCAATTTCTAGGGGATCGGATGACGAAGGGTACGACCGTGAAGATTGTTGGGAACGGAAGCCGGCAACGAAAGACGGGGTGCCCGTTGAGATTCCCCTCCTTCCTTAGGGCTGGCCCGGCGTCTCGGGCCCGAGGGGCACCAGGCAGCCATTAGGAAGGAGCCGGGGGGACAATCAAGAAACGGAGGCAAAAAAACGGAGGAAGAGGGGGAGAGGGGGACGAAGCTGTCTGATCAGCAGCAGCTGGAATATGGCCAAATCCGATGTTGACACTCGTAAGTTGGGGGTGTTCGATCTTGGAAGGTAGGTACTGTAAAGAAGGATGTTCATGATGATGGAAGACCAAAAAAATAAGAACATGCAAGGCGGGGTTTTAGGTAGAACCAACCAGCGGTTTTTTCAACGAGCTACAAAAAGAAAAGAAAAAGGGAAAAAAAAGAGGAACGACCGATCGCAACCGGCCCAGCCCGGAGTTGAACCGGGACCTGCTTGTTTTCGCATTATTGCTCGAGGCCGGCTCGAGTCTTACTAGCTATTCTGCCTGTGTGCTGCCCATTACACCACAAGACCATTTGGCTGTTATCGTTCGTTGAGAGGTGGGGATGAACTTTGTCGTTATATGGCCCCATTCAAGTTCCTTTCTCACAGGCAAATGCAGTACAACAGGATGTTCTCTTGTTGCAGGCGGAAAGCGTTTGGATGTATGTATTGTTACCTAGCTCGCATTGTCCATCTGTTATATCTCTAATGAAGTTGTTGTCCATTTGGCCTCGCTGTGGGAGACGTTTGTACTAGATTTGTGCGCATGTATCGCAATGCCCAAGATTGTCGTTATACCTTTTTGTGAAATTTTGATCCTTATGATGCATCCAAGACGGTTGATATCCCAATCGTTTCTCGCTACAATGATGTTAGTTGGTTCTTCTTTTCAGATGCATAGGTAAGGATGTAAACGTGACCACTATGGAAGTGATCGTACCTAATGTCTACTTCAACGGCACGATATAGGGGTTTGTTCACAGAGTTACATGTTCCTGTTCTATTGACTCTATTTACTACTTGGTCACCATTTGGTTACTTCTTGTCCACCTATGTTTGCGTTTACGAAGAAGATTGTAAGGCCTTGCATGTCTTGATAGCACTTGAGCAGAAGTAACTTCGACCACATCAAGATGTTACACAGTTTTGCGCACTTCCCACAACATACCAAGACCATCACTAACGAGCTTGAAAGCCTTCATTTCATGTTGATTCCACTGGACGCTCTATTTAGGACGGAGAACTTTAGTTCCATCGCATGTTTGCAAGCCTGGTTGTCAGCCTTGTAGCTGAGCTTGAGTGGCTCTTGACCCGGTGATATATATACTGTTGATTAGGTAGAGGTATCGTTTCGTGAGAACAGGGAACTAATGCTTCGTGCTATCTCTTTTGGTCTAACCCATATACCTCCTAACGAACTTCATCCCTTGAACCGCGTATTTTATCGTTTGTTTGGCCACAAACCGTCTTTGGATGATCTTTCAATAATACCACGGTTGACTTCCCGCCCCCGCTGCTACCCCTGAAAACAGTTGCTCAAAGAAGCAAAACAATAACATGCTACCCCTTTCAGACAGCAACCAACCATTAAACATCACACAAAGCTCCTCTTTGGGTTGCTCAACATCACTACATGCGCTTTGCAAAACAAGCACTGCAGTGGTGTCATGGCCACCTGACCCGTCACCAGCTTCCACAGCACATGCAGATATATGTGAACTGCAAGGGGAAGAAGTATCACTCGTAAGCAGTGCCAATGTACACAGTGCTGTAGGCGGCCGTCATTATTGGCAGGGGTCACTGGTGACGTCGCGGGCCCAGTCATAGGTTGTCGTTGGTTCGGGATGCATCCAACCACGGGTTCTGGAGAGAAAAGGTTCTTGACTGGCAGTGGTTCAAGAAAGGTAGATACCATAGGAGTCAATCTTGACGGTCTTGCAGAGACACTGCGCGGTTGAAAGTCTATGTACACGGAAGAGGTTCTTTAAGGGCCAATTCGGACGGAAGAGAGCACCGAACTCTTCTGCCCCAGATGTCGCCCACCAAAATCATGGACTGTCTGTGGTCGTCTCCCAGACGGCGGAAGGACGAGGATGTGCAGTCAGTCGTATTTATATCCGAGGTAGCATTGTCGATCGGGAATCGTGTGTGGGTAGCATTCTGCCAAGCATCCCCAACCCCAAAAGTGGCTTGCGCCTATTCCCGATCCAGACAGGCAACAGCCCGTTATGTTCAGGCGTGCTGCTTGCTGCAGCGTCTCTGCACATGCAGGGTTCACGACCTGGTTTGGGTCTTGCATGAATCTTTGGTGGCTGGGGTTTACCGTTCGTTCGCTGTTCCGAGTCGTCGGTTGCTGGCCACCGCTGGGCCCTGTTCCGCTAGTGCTGAGAATTGGTGCCGTAGTACCCATGTTGGCTGACGTTGTGAGCTGAGACTTGCTGTTGATTCCTGGACAAGATGCATTTATGATGATGGCTTCCTCCTCTTCAACGTTCCACCGCTTCTTTTTGTGTTTTACCTCTTTCTCCCCTCTGTTAATGCTCGGACGACGACGACGACAACTCGATATCTGGAACTGGGCTGGGAATTGCTAGAGGTTAGCTCATGCTTGAAAAGCAGCAGTGGTGGAGGAAACCAACTTTTGGGAAGACTGAAGGAGTTTGAGGTGGTTGGTAGCTTGGAGCCGGCAACCTCAAGTTTTCAACACCGAGTTCCGAAGAGCTTCCCCGACGTTTCACAGTTCCGGCTTGTTCAGGGGTGGAGGCAGGACTGGAAAGGTGCCAGCAACAGTGACGAAACGTGCGTGGACGGTACCTATGGATGGATGTCGAACGGGGTCCTCGAAGCCTTTCGAGGTATGATGCTGGCCCGGGGCTTGTCTTCAAGCTGTCGCAAATCCTGTCCCGGTTCTTGGCCCTTATATATGAGGCGGGAATTCTGGCCGTAATGGGTTGGTGGTACCATGGATGGAAAGGAAATCCCAACGCAAGGGTGGACTTGATCTTCCCGTGCTTCTTTCCGGTACGTCTCTCGGCTTGAGTAAAGATGGCAGTTGGAATCGTAGGACTCTTGCTGACATTGAAGGCATAGCTGGGCGTTGCTGTCATTGTGAACGCGTATGAGATCGTCTCTTTCTCGTGCTTGGACCGGCGACGACCGATCAATGTCATTGCCGTGTGCTTCGACATCCTGATTTGCGCTGGTAGCACCTTTTGTTTCCTCCTTCTAGGGCTTATCGACAACGACCAAGTTCAAGACAGACTTAGAACGGACTCCACGCGAGAACGATGGAAGAAGGACCAAAGTAAAGCCATGATCTTCATGATTGTGTTTTGGTAAGTGGCCGTCTCGATTCATTGGGTCCAAATCTGAAGTATCTTATGGGGAACACTCGCATCGATGATTGCACCTTCCCTCTTTGCCGTTGATAAGGTACCATTGCTGACTTCGGGATTTCTCAACACAGCTTTCTTCATGCGTTGTTTGTAATCATGGCTTCGGTTGGGTGTGTATACTCGGGAGTGATGAAGAACAGGGCGCGAAGACAGAGGCGGATAGTACGAAACCGAGCGCAGATGGTTCGGTTTGCAGAGGAACGGCGGAGGCGAATGGAAGTAGAGAAAGCCCAAGTCGAGGCTCCGGTTGAGGACGTCGGACAGAGTGAAGAACGAATACCCGAAAGAAACCCAAGGGGGACGGAGTCAACGGGGTCAACAGAGCTGGAAGACAACGAACGAAAGACGAGGAAACGGTTCAGTGGAGGAACTGAGGTCATGTCCTAGCTGGGGCGGTTACGGTACCTTACTTTCTTGGGACCGTTACTTTGGGGGCGTGTATGGTTGGCCGTCTTCCTTACGTGCCGTCTTTTCTTACGGCACGTTTATTACCAGATACCTATTGTTGGACCTTCCTCGCCTGCCTACAGGCAAGGCTGCTCCGTTTCAAGTTGTACTTTGGGACTTTGCCAAAAAATCTTGCCCTACTTCCCCGCACAATCTACTTGACCTTCCCATCAAATTCTTCAACCTTTTCACCTTTCAAATTTGAGTGATCAAGAATCTTCTCTCGCATTCCACTGCCTCCTTCTTCATCTTTCAACTTTCAACTTTCAACATCATCTCCAACCACAACCTTACACCCAACTTCTCAAGATGACCCAGATTCCCTGGCTTGACATCTTTGACGGGCCCGTCTCCAACGCCTCAGAACTCAACTTTGCCTCTACCAGAGCTCGCGCGGAGGACGCTCTCTTCTACCCTCCCAGCAATGAGAACTCTCCTGTGCCCCCCTCGCGGGATCGCACCTTGAGGACGAGCCCCCCTACCCAAGCTGACGAGGACGAGAACTTACGACGATTCAGCATGCGGCCCCCCACCCAACCGATCCTTACTGACGAGGACGCGTATTACGCGGCGCAGCTGGAGATGATCCGTAAGAAGTACATGCGCGTCATGGACAAGAAGAAGCCGCCCCCTCACCTCGCTGTGAGAATCTGCAAGAAGATTTTTCATGGCGCGTTCATGGCTGCCTTGTTCTTTTCTCCTTTATTCCTCCTCCTCAACAAGGCACGTCGTGCCGCAAGGGGTTGAGTCCCTCCTCAAGGGCTCCCCTCTTCCTGTGCTCACCACCAGGGCACGTCTGACCAGGGGCTGAGTCCCTCCTCAAGGGCGCCCCCTTCCTGTCAAAGTATTGTGAGGTAAGTTTGATCATCCAACACCAACGTATTCGTACCTTGGAAGCACACACCAAGCAGTTGACTAGGAGTGCTAACACATTTCCCAACACATCTAGACATCTCCTTCGCTCCCGCTGCCCAAGCGGCGCGGTCTTTGAGCAACGACAACCACTGCTATCTTTCGCGCCTCAACAGTTGTTGCTGATCCATTGTTTGTATGAGGTATGAGCTCCATGAACTGCCTTGACGCGCGTCTCCACCTGCTTGATACCTGTTTCCCTGTTTGAAAACACCCTTTGCTACGAGTTTGGGCATTTTGGGTCTGGCAAAGGGGCCCACAAAGCTCAGTGGACACTCAAGCTTCTTTCACTCTACGATCATGTCAACACAATAAAGTGCATCTGACTGACCTGGCTTGTGATAGTAATGTGCCTCGGGCCAGCACCACCAAGAAGCTGTCCGCCGAGGACAAGAAGAAGCAGAAGAAGAAGAAGAAGAAGTTCACCACCCGTGGCACCACCAAAGCCTCCAAGGCCAGGAAGGTCAAGTTTGCTTGGCCCAAGAAGGTCCGTGTCGGCGACGAATGTACTGCTGGCCACGTCAGGTAAAGTTCCGCTCCCATTCCTGTTACTCCTTGGCCGTTGTATATGGCTGCTGACCATTCATGAACCACAGTGGTCAAATCTCTGGTTCTTCGATAGTGGCCGGCCGATGACGGAACACAACATCCGTCCCGTCATCGGCCAAGCAAAACAAGCATCACCACCACCTCCACCGAATCCAGGCACACGCCATCACTGGCTGATTGCCACCAGGATCAGGCCCGGTGGAGACGCTACGCCGAGCACCCCCTCTACACCCTTTTCCACTACAGTGGTGGCATGTGCCCTGGTTTAGTATCAACTCCTTGTCTCGAAGATTCGGATGCCTATTTGGTTATGCCAGCCCGCGCACTATCCCAGCAATATGTTTTCCAAGGTCAAGAAGCTCTCCGCGAAGGTCAAGGAGCGTATGTACTCGTCTGTACAGATCATCTACTCCGCTCTCGCCTTCGGTACAGGCCAACTTCCAAGGCTTCACGTTGTACAAGACAAACCCCGCTGCTTGAATTGTGCTTTCGACATCACCGAGGGGCATTTCAAAGCACCCCTTGAGGGGGCCCTCAACTCAGGCCACCCCTCACATGGCCTCCCCGACGTCGAGATTCTTCCCGAGTATGATGGGACAGATGACTACGAGCGGCAGGACCGAAGAGGTTGCCAGACGTGTGGAATCTGGGCAGTCCGAGTCCGGACCTTCCTACCGAGCGAGGTTATCTTCCGGCCGGTTTATTGGACCCAACGGCTTCAACATCAAGCCGGGGGGTTGAGCGGTAAGTACCTATCCATCCCCTCGCTTCCATCTTATTTGAGACATCAACTAATGGTTAAACTAGTTCACCAACGATCAACTCCTCACCTAGCGTGATCACCACCACCACCACCAACCAAGATGCCTTGCCCTCACAAAAAGCTCTACGAAAGGAGAAGAAGATGAGCGAGGAGGCCGGCGACAGCAAGAAGCGCAAGAAGCACGACGGCGAGACCGCCGAGGGAGAAGGCCGAGCGCAAGAAGCAAAAGAAGGAGAAGAAGGAAAAGAAGGAAAGAAGGAGAAGAAGGAGCAGGCAAAGGCAACAAAGCCCAAGGAAGAGCCACAGTCCAGCACTTCTAGACCGCGGGGCAAGAATCCAGGTTGGCAGGACCTTCACCTTGACCTCACCTTCACTTCCGCTTGATCAGGTTGACTGTTCAGCGATGTAGATTTCTGCGCCCAAGAAGGTGAAAGTAGACGCATCACCTCCAGTGGAGTCCGCCTCTGACCCGAATGAGACGGAAGAACAGAGGAAGCGCCGCTTGCGGAAGGAGGAGAAGAAGAAGAAGGAAAAGAAGGGAGAAGAAGGAGAAGAAGGAGCAGAAGAAGAAGAAGTCCACCACCCGTGGCAGAATTTGCGTGGGCTTGCTGCCCTCAATGGTACTCTGCGTGATGACGAAAACCAAGCTTGCCAGAACTGAGGGAGGTGGAAAGGCGACGACAGAAAATGTGGTTGATTCTGTAGTGGTAACGGAAGAGGGGAAACGGAAACTAGGGTAGTCTAGAGAATCACACGAACTTCGTCTTTAACTTCTCGTTGTTCATTGCCAGGTTGTGAAGCCAAGTGAATTGTACGGTGACCCTGACAAATCCTTTGAGTGAGCACAAACGGTCCGCGGTGCCTGTTGAACGACAAGACAAATATTGAAGCTCCTTGAGGTCCGATACCTCCGCGAGTCATGGGTAGTTATGCTACGCATCTTCTCCCTTCAACAGGACTGGCACTAACGACAATGGTAACAGCAGAATGATAGGCGACTTGGTGGAGATGGTAGATCAAGCACAGGAGCAACAAGATTGAACATAGAAATCAAGCGTTTCAAGGGGGTATCGTGTCATTGCATCTTATCAACATACACAAGTCTCCATGGGAGAACTAAAACCCAAATGCGAATCCTCGACTAACGGACTGAAACATGCTTCCCGTACTGTAGTGATCCGGCTCGTGAAAACTCCATGAATGTCCTTCGCGACAAAAAATGCTTTCCCAAATTCATTCATGCATGCACCCCTAAAACAACGAACAAACTCCTTATGCGAAATAAGAAAACATCCACCACTGGGGTATCCTTTACTTGTCCTCCTTCTTCTTGTCGCTGGTCTCCTTCTCGTCCTTCTCCTCGCTCTTGCCCCTCACGGCGCCCTCGAAGCTGGTGCCGACATTGGCAATGGTCTCGCCAACAGGCTTGCCGAGGCCGCCCGTGACGCTGGTGATGGTCTCGCCGAGGCCGCGCGAGGCAGCGCCGACGACGCCGCCAACCGTGTTGGCGACGGAAGACGTGGTGTTTCCGACCGTGTTGGTGACGCCGCTGGCTACGCTGCCGACGGCGCCGGTGACGGTGCTGGTGGCGCTCGAGAGGAGGCCGGGGGACTTTTCTTTTTGCTCAGAGGAGTCGTCGGATGTGCCCTTCTTGCTCTCGGTCTGCTGGGTATCCTTCTTCTCGGTGCTCTTCTCCTTCTCGAGGGAGGCGAGGGTCTTGGGGGCCTTCTCGATCTGCTCGGCAGTGACGGGCTCACCGGCGTCTTGGGAGACGGCCTGGGAGTAGAGGGGGGCACCGGGCTCGTTGGGGTTGGTGGCCATTTTGATGGTTTTGATGGGATTGGTGTTTTGCGGGTGTGGTTTTGTGGTTTGTCGTGTTGGTTGGAGAGAGATGTTCTCTTGGTTGTAGTAGAAGAGTGGCTTGAATGGATTGGAAGTGATGATGTTCTACAAAAAGATCTGAAGTGTGACCGATGCGTTCCTTATATGTCTGTACGACCAAACAAAAAGACCCCACCGTGCATTGCGTTGCAATTGCATGATGATGATGGTTGGCGACCAAAGGCAGGGGGAGAGCTTGCTGAGAGCTTGTTGCAATGGAAGCTCCAAAGACAAAGCTGCCCCGCCATTCTACGTCATCGCTGCACGGTCGATCAGGTCCCCGTCTGCCATCCGTCTTGTGTCTGCCTGTCTCTGACACCTGCACTGCCGTTTGCCAGTATCTAACGCACTCCTCATCCTTCCATCCCTGATTGCCGGATGACACTTTCCCTGTCAAAGGCAATGAAATTGGCGTTGGCAATTACTGCCGAAACTGACCGCGATGGTGATTGCGAGCAAGGGTCGTGGGCTTCAATGACGTCGTTGTAGCGGGGCCTTGAGCACGCTATTCCTGTTCTGGCCGTTCCTGATCTCCCCCTTCCCGAAAGTGATCGGAATCCGTAGCCACAGAGAGTCAAATCCGTATGCACAGAGACTCCCCACTTTTTTCTGGATGTGCCAGATTGCCAGTGAGTGCAGCCACTACCCAAGTTCCCAAGATATCAACGTCCTCGACCAGGTTTAAACACTCGCAAGGAATTGTGATTTTGAACAACGAGGTCTTCTATCAGGGAGATTCCATTCCGACTAAGTATCGTTGCGCGAAGTTAGGGGTAAGCGGCTCGTTTGACTTAGAGAGAACGGTACCCTTTTGGGCGGGCGAGTTTGATACGATACCGGGCTTTCGATACTGCACGGCACACGAACCGGATCGCGCACAGCACTGAGGTAAGAAGGGATAGATATCGCAAGAAGCTTTAAGCGTGAGAGTTTAAAGCGCGAAGAGCCTCATTTGCGAAGAGCCTCATTCACGAAGAGCTTTATTCGCGACGAACATTTGATATCAATACTTCATTTCGATGTTGGTTAGCACCGACTCTTTTGGGTCGCGACGGAAATGGCGGCTGGTGGTTGGCTATACACCTTAAAAAGTGGGGGAAAGTCTCTGTGCCTACGGATTTGACTCTGTGGCTACGGAATTCGGAAAGTGATTGCATCGAAATCTATAGTTCCCTTTTCAACCAAGGCAGTTTCCCATATCATCCTGTGGCTGGCAAGAGGAGGTTACTACTCGTTCGTGTCATATGATCACGTTCATGGCAGTTGCCAAATTGGCAGCATGGTTTCCAAAAGAAGGACAAATGGTGGCCGAAGGAAGCTGCCCCTGCCGTGGGACTTGTCGGCGAGGTCGTCCAACATGATCTCCGTCGGGGAACATCCAAGGCCTCAATCTGCCAAAGGCATACGATGACAACTTCGAGGCTCTTCATCGTATATAGCCGCCCAATCATTTCAGTCCCTGGACAGCTTGACCGCACGTGTACATGTATGTATCCAGTCGATTTGTAGATTGCTCAACGCATTTTCATTACCAAGTTTTGCATACAATGAATGACAGGTTGTGAACTGACTCTGTCAAATGTGTCCCTGCATCTTTATTTTGGGGTGATGGCGGCCTTCGGCTTCCTGGGAGTACCAAAGGAATTGACCCGGCCGAGCCCCCGACCATGAGCGGAGACCCACCTACCGATAAGTGGGTCCAAGCCTCCGGCAACCGAGCCGGTGCTGCTCTGTGGTGCCATTGATTTTGAGCCCAACGTTGATATTCACTCATGTTTAATACAAGACATCTAACCTTCCTATCTAAATGAAGATTTGAAGTGATATCAGAGTTGAGCCGCTGGTCCGTAACAGACTCGAATCACAAGGTAGAAGTTCGTACCTGCATCAACCCTAACCCGCGGCACTTTTCTAACAGACGAGCTACGTCCCCCAACCAGTTGCTGCTGTTAGAAGAATTCGGCTCTTCGGGTAGGCGCGACTGATCGAACGCGGCCGCTCGCAGTCCATGGGGCAATCAATGCGGCAGATCGCATCTGCAACGGTGGAAGCTCCCGCTGTGAATTGCAGCGGCCCCCAGAATGAAACATCCAAATTCCTAGGACACTTCTTCTTCTTCCAGCAACCACCAAACAACAAGAGAACCAATTCTAAGGAGCAAAATTGTCACACGACAATCAATTTCTTTCGTTCATATGTCCACCGTCCATACATTACTTCAGTAGCTTTATCCGACGCCATTGAATTCCTGTCTTTGATACCTTGCCTGCGGGGTCTTGCGTCGCCCAACTTGACAGCACGTCTTGCTCGACATTCGAACTTCAAGTCCAGACCCAACACTTGGCCACACCAACGCATTATCACCATTCAGCTCAGAACCGAATATCTTTCCGGCCAGTGCGCGACCTACGTGAGTTGTACGTCCGAACATGTAAGCTGGGAATCCGTTCGAGCCCATAAATAGTTGGTTTGAAGCGTGACCGGTGCATACACCGCCTGTATTAGAGTCTGGACCACTTCAGGAGTGACCGATAACTTTGGTGGTCACGAGCGTGACTATGGGATGTGTGTACAGATGCCCATTGGTCGGTAAAGCCAGGACGAATGCGAGACGGTGATTCAGGGGGTCTGCTAGCGAATCCTCTTGCCCCAAGTAGTGTTCTGGATGTGTTGGCAATCTTTCGCTAATGTTGAACACTTCCTACCAGTCAAACTTAACAATCGTTCACGATAATCCAGAGCCTCTTGGTGTACTAGGTGGAGCCCTTGACACACAACAAGCTACGAAACCGCCAAACCAACATCCTACCGGTCTTACAACATTGTGTGCCATCCTTCCGCAGCTATCATCAGGGCGAGGAGTTTGCAAAAACACTACACATAGGAGAAAGAGGAGGGATGAGGTGACCAAACCGATTTAAACCGACCCAAGCCGACGAGGTCCGACATCGGAATTTCTCGAACACGGACAAGCCGATCTTACTATGGGCAGGACGCGGCTCTTCAACCTCCATCCGGGGGCTTCAGCAATCGGACGGCTGCCTTTCCATACAAGAACATCAAATCAGAAGCCCAGGAAAAGGGGAGAAAGCCTTGAAGGGGACACTAAGAGCTTTCGAAACTCACCGTCACGGACTGGCCAAGAACAAGGCGGTGTCTATCTCCTTGACCGATCGAGTGTCAGCTTTTGAGACTCGAGCACCAAAGACTCGACCGTTACGACTCCTGGGTCTCGACTTTCAGCTTGGACGACACTGTGGGACGAACTGGTTTATGGGTCTAGCCTTCAAGCAAGAACTCCAGACGAACCTGCCACCGCAAGGAGATTGGGCCCGTCGGTGCACAACCCACAGGTACGGATCTTGAGGCGCGCACGGGCATGCAACAAAGTGCATATCTGGAAGGATCAGCCCCACAAGGATTGTTTCCTGGTCTTCTTACTATGCTTTGAACATCAGATACCTGACCTGTGCGGGGTGGTTCACCGGAGAACGAAGGTCAGAGTGTCCAATATCTCGAGTGAGCAACTCGTGTTGGATTTGGCGGTCAGGACCGTGTTGGGCGGTGTCGTCCATACGAAATCACAACCATCCCGTAGTCATTGTTTGTCTATGGAACACAACGCTTCGCAAGAGGGGAAATCTGGCCCCGATCTGTCATCAATCACGGTGAAGATTTTGTAACAAATCCCTTAACATAAAGACCATCAGCACCATTTGTACCACCATGTCTTTTTCCTCGGCAGACAAATCGGCAGACGCCACCATCGAGATGACCGAGATGACCCGGCAAAGCACACCATCTTCTGGCGAAGCCGCGGCTCCAACACCTTCAACAAGCTCTACCGAAAATGGGGATAAGGCGTTGGAGGCGTTGGGCTATACACCAGTGAGTTTTAGTACCAGAGGGCCTCGCTCTCCCGAATGTCCGGGGGCTTCTACTAACATACCACAGGTATTCAAGCGCGAGTTCTCAAGGTGGTCCAGCTTCAGTTTTGCTGTGAGCATATCTGGAGTATATGGCACACTCATGTCAACATGGATATATGGCCTGCAAGCCGGCGGCGCGGCTGCTATCATGTGGAGTTGGATCATCGGCGGCGCTGGCGCATCGGCACTTGCATACAGTATCGCTGAGATTGCATCTGCCTACCCCAGCTCCGGAGCCATGTACTTCACCTTGAAGTTCCTCGCACCCGAACAGCAAGTTCCCTTCCTGTGTTGGATCGCCGGTAAGTTCTTCGATACCTTCGCCTCTAGATTGTCGCTGACTGGAATGACAAAGGTTATCTCAATCTCGTGGGTACCGTTGCAGGTAGTGCCTCTACCGAGTATGCCGCGAGTCAAATGCTTCTTGCAGCTGTTTCGATCACATCCAACTTCAGCTACGTGCCAACACCAAGCCATGTTGTGGGTGTCATGGTAGCGCTTACAATTATTCATGCCATGATCAACACTCTACCGACAGCGTGGTTGAACCGGTTGACAAGCGGCTATGTTGTCTTCCACATGAGTGTCCTACTCGGTGCTTGTGTGACCTTGTTGGTTCAAAAGTGGAACGATATACACACGCTCAAATATGCTTTTACCGATTTCCAGCCTTCATCGGGATGGAGCCCTCCTGGTTTTGCCTTTCTTTTCGGATGCCTTACGCCAGCCTGGATCATGACTAGTTGTGATGGTACAGCTCGGTAAGTTCCTGGACTGACCAATTGGAGGGTGAAGGTACTCGTGATGCTGACTCAAAGATAGTATTGCTGAAGAAGCAAAGAACCCTCAGATGGTTGTACCTTGGGCCATTGCCAATGCGACAACGTTCACTTATGTCATTGGGTTTGCATTCAACCTGGTCTTGGTTGTCTGCATGGGCGACCCCAAGGAACTGATAAATAGCCCAAGTGGCCAACCGGTAAGATCCCCCAAGCCGAGGCTCCAGGCTCTCACCTGTCCGAAATTAACTTTGCCAACACCAAGGTTGCGCAACTCTTCTTCAATGGCATGGGGCATGCCCCCGCGATTCTGTTCACACTCTGCGGCTTCGGAGTCATGAATCTGGTTGCGATCCCCGGCATACAAGCCGGCAGTCGGACCATTTTTGCCCTCTCCCGCGACAACCTTCTTCCGTTCTCCCATATCTGGGTCCGCATCTCTAAACGCTCACAGACTCCCCTCATTGCCGTCTGGATGTATGCTGTTCTCGAGATCATCATCAACCTGCTCGGCTTAGCAAGCGGTACTGCCATCGGCGCCGTGTTCAATGTCTGTACGGTTGCATTGAACGTGTCCTATGTCATACCCATCATTTGCAAGATGGTCTATGGGCGTATGCAGAAGGGGCCTTGGCATATGGGCAAGTATAGCATCTGGGTCAATGCAGTGGCGGTTGCATGGAACACGTTCATGGCTGTCATTTTCTTCTTCCCGACACGGATACCCGTCACACCTGAGAATGTGAGTACCGCCGTCTTCATCAGTTTGGGCTCCACCTACCAAGGATGCGGTAATGCTAACATGTCCTCCAGATGAACTACGCCATCGTTGTTTTCTTCTTCGTTCTTTTCTTCGCCCTCGGTTTCTGGTATACCCATGGACGCCATTACTATACCGGTCCCCTAACGCACTCGCCACGCGCTACCGATATGTCGGTCGTCGTACCCGACGACGTGTGATCGGTTTCAGTTCTCGTACGACCCCATAGGAGGCGGTCCTCCTTGTATTTTTTTTCCTTCATAGCAGCATCTCAACTGCTTTGCGTTGCCTTTAACTTCTTGGAGCCCGGCGTTGTTTTGGTTGGTTGGCCAGTTAATAGTTTTACTTTTACATCATTTGGCGTGGCGTTTATGTTTTAATGAAGTCCTCCCCAAGGGTTGGTGGGGCTGGAGCTGGGATGTAGGGAGTTAGGGACAGGTTCAAAAAAGCTTATTTTGACGTCGTCTTGCTTATTCCCGTTGTGGTGCATACAAGTCGTGATCCATCGAGGTCGGGTGGCGTGATCCCTGGTGTTGTCCAATCCCTTGCCAAACCTCTTACATTCCGACTTTCTCTCCGTGAACCTGCTGGGTTGGTGTCTTGCTTTTTTGGGTAAGAGACATACTCTATCAAATGATTCGCTGACCACACTAACTCTGAAATAGTTCGAAATACCTAGTCAGTATCCAGATCGAGGGCATTCCGTGCTTTGTTTACCCGCTTCAGGGGTAAGGCTTGGCGTTCAGGCTGCTGTTGATCCCAGCCTTGGCCGCACGCTCCCCGGTGTAGATCGCTAACCCAACCTTATTTGAACCTCTATTGACAGGAACATAGATAAGATGACATCGCCGTTGGATACTTGCCTTGGTACGTTCAGGGAGCTTTTTTACTAGACTATTGGAATTTGGGAACGATTAAGTGGGTCAACAACAACAGCCCCCTTACAACACGGCTAGGGATTCCAACCAGCTCAACGATCCTACAAGTTGGTCAGCTATGGTCTGGCTAGGGCAAAATATATGTGCTTCTTTCCGCCCTCCAGCTTTCTATAATCGCTGACGCATTTGATGTCGAAACAAGGAAACCACCAAGCTCGCTCTCTAAATCATCGCCGTCCGAAACTGCCACATTCTTCTCGGTAAGCCGCACGTACTTTTCTAAGATTTGGCAGCAACTAGAGCAAAGAGTCGGTATATAGGTATACTAGAGATGTACCCGTTCGCTACCATTAGCAACAAGGTGCGTAGCTCCGGCGGATTAAGATGGATGTCTATACTAGGCCTAGAGTACCTCTACGTCACCACCAGCCCGTTAGCAGAGTTGCTAACGATAGAATCGCTAACCGCCGCACTACTACCGGCCGTATCACCAACCGCCGTATTACTACGATGAAAAAGAAAACTGGGCTGCATACCTACGAAACGGTCCATTTACCTAGGTACCTACTGTTCAACCACGAGAACCTCTCCATCGTTGCCCAATTGTTAGAGCTACCCACAGCCGCCTCCTTCCAGGCTCATAACTCCATCCCGAACTTGGATCCTCCTCGGGACCAAAAAGGCCAGCGCCAACCAAGGTGGCACTTCCTCCCGTACAAGAGATTACACCAAAGTCTTTCTACAACAATCCGGGCTTGTCCCTATGGGAACGGTCAACCGTGCCCCAGAGGTGCCACCGCAAGAACCACCGCAAGATCAGCAGGTACAGAGGCCGTCAACTGCATCGTCAGAGGGAACCAATGCCGCGCATGGTGACATATGCCATCATCTCTGAGTCACTGAAGTGACACACAACAGGCACACCTGAGTTTAACTATCTATTTCCAGATGTGTGAGTCCTTGAGGGCAACGGGGCGTTGGACGAGGGCACCGTTGGGATCAGCGGGGGTGTTGTTGAACAGGGCTTCGACTGGAACGACAGGGGTTTGCGGAAGATGGTGCGGGAGAGGAGGGAGGGGCTGAGGACCGCGAATGGCGGAGCGGCTTGAATGAAGTTCGCGGTCAGCGCCGGAAGGAACCTCACAAGTTTTGCAAAGGAAGGTTTCGTTAACTCTGTTCTCGGTGTAGAGGGCGTGGGGTGGGCGGCGACGACGCGGCGATACATTGGTAGCTTCTTCTGGGACTGTGTCTCGGTCCCGGCGGGCAACACATCCTAGGCATTGCGAGCCACTACGAGGAAGCCGGCCGCAGGCAGCGCCGGGAGCTGAGCGCACGCACGCGAACTCGCCCTTGATGCATCGCACACCCGGCCATGACGGCCTACCGTGACATGTTGGCGCGAGAGCCCATCCGGTTCGCCCAGGAAGTTTGTGATGACTGTATTTTGGTTGTACCCGTAAGTTTCATTCCGGAATGGTGGTTTCTCGCAATCATGGACAACTGACATTGCCGTAGGGCTTCGGATGGTCCTCGACGTGTTCGGTGTTAGCGGGCCGAGATTACGACTTTTCCTCAGAATTCCCTACTGACGGCCCTGTAAACATGTTCTCGATCAGTATCACTGATGACTGGGGCCTGAACGGCCATTTATTTGGCGTAAAAGCTATATTCAAATCGTCTATAGGGTGCAAGGGTAAATATATTATGCTGGAGTGGCTGTTGGAGGACCGCCGGCGCGCCAGTAAACTGGTGGATCTGTGGTCCTTCGTAGAACGATCGCGCGGACAAGATGCTCAATGACCGAGAGCGCGACAGGAAGAACAACGCCATTGACAAAATAATGGCGGACAAGAGAAAAGAGGTGAAGGTAAATTTGTTCTAGGATGGGGACTTCGTCGCTTTTGCGCCGGGTGTCTTTGGCGTGCCATTTGCCCAGGGTCTCCCGCGATGAGCGGTTGAACGGCTTCTGGCTTGGGGGGGTTTCGTCCTTGGGAGGTGACGTGGGGTAGAAGGCTAGATGATTCAAAATCTAGCGTTGGCCCTATTCGTGTGTTCTCTTTGTCCTCATTGTCTGCTAAGTTCTCATCGTCCTCGATAGGTATGATTACCTCTACGCTCGTATTATACCCCCACTGACTTCCTCGCCCTCTACAATCATAACCCGTTTCACAATTTCTTCAACTTCCTTCTTTCTATGGTCAACCATGTCGCTCAAAAGCGGTGGCTCCAAAGTCAGTGTCCGGGCCGGTTCGAGGACTCCTTCGGGGAACGCTTCAATCTATTTTATCAAGGTTAACTCGGTCCTTTAGTTGGTACGGTTTATTTGTTTCTTCTACCTCGTGTGTTTCTGTCTTTGTCGTATGTGTTTTTTATCCACCCCATCATCTCATCACGTTTCTGGTCTTGCCATGGTTATGAGAGGTAGCATTGTGCGTCTTAAATATTTTACACTCCCGGTGTGGCGAACGGCCTCTAAGTTCTATTGTGAGCTCCGGGTTGAGCGGTATGTCTTTCTACTGCAACTCATCGGCGTAGCTTAGGTAAATTGGAAGGGGACTGCGGGAGAAGTGCGAAAGCGTATTCCCTCACTCTGTTTAATACAGACCTCAAGGCAGATGTTGGAAAGTTCAGATGACATGGTTATAGGGAAGCGATGTGGAGATGATAGGGAAAGCGAAGTGTTTGAGAATATGCACGTCGAGACGTCCGATGTAAGATGAATAACGCACTGGTCTAACTCGAGGATGTTTGTCAGTCTTATCTTCAGATGAAATAAGAACATGGAGGATATTCTGATGCGAGGTACTTCGGATTCTGTTTGCGAGTGTAGACGAAGATCCTTGGTACCTGATATAATCCTACAACATTTCTTCTCTCTCGAGTTTCTTCTCTTTCTTCTTCTTTCGACAACTTAGTATCGTCAAACTGCTCCCGCTTCTTTCTACGACCAAGACCAAGACCACTAATACCTCTACAACAAGCAACTGCAAGCTTTTTTTTTCCTCCTCCAGTTACCATCGTAAGTTCAAACTACTACACCCAACCATTGACGCGTTCCAACTCCTTCAAAGACGTTATGATTTCTAACTCATTTCCCACTTGAAAATTGGATATGTTTTCCGTGGTCAAGAAGCTCTCCGCGAAGGTCAAGGAGGCCTTCACCCTTCCCGGGGAAGGTCTCCTTGCCTTTGGCGCCGGCGCCTCCGTGGCTGCCGACCCTTTCGGGGGGCTTTTTGTTCTGCCAGCCCCTTCCTCCTTTGCTGAGCCTCGGGCCAGCACCACCAAGAAGCTGTCCGCCAAGGACAAGAAGAAGCAGAAGAAGAAGAAGAAGTCCACCACCCGTGGCACCACCAAGGCCTCCAAGGCCCGGAAGGTCAAGTTCGCTTGGCCCAAAAAGAAGAGGTTCCTGTCAGCGATGACAGGGTCGGCCTCTTGGCCGACCTTCACGACAACCCGGGCGTAAGTTCACTTTCACCTTGTTTTAACTTTCTACCTCATCATCCCGTTATCACTTTCCACTCAAATTTATCTAAGAACCAACTAACACAACAACCCACACAGCCCAACACCATTGAACGGCCCCGGGACGCCCTCCCAACCTGGGCAGGCCGCGCTTGGGCCCGTCTGCCGCCGCCTGTCTCCGTCTTGGCGAGGCTACAGCCGCCTCTGAGAGCGATCTCAGGGGCTGGCGCCGGCTGTAGCCTCCGCCACCAAACGCCAACGCCACCACCAACACCACCACCAACCATTCCGTCTTGTCGCCGTGCCGTCTGGGCTGCCGCCGGCCGCCACAAGACCCGAGGGGAGTAGGGGGGAGGAGGAGGAAGAGGAGTTGGAGGAGGGAGGGGGTGCTCGGTGACGGAGGGTGGGGATGGAGGGGGATGGGATGGTAGGAGGATCGGTGGGAGTCTTCTGCGCGTGTGCTGGGTTTGGGCTGGGCCGCTGGGAGGATCACCAGAAGTTCGAAATGAAAACAACCTAAGGGGGGCAATGCCCTCGCCTACGGGCACGACTGCGCTCACGTTTCTTTCCATGACTGGCAAATAACTGGTGACTGTTGTGACGTTATATAGTAAGGTACCTAGGTACAGCGCGCCCTGGAGTTCAAGGCCAGCGCGACCGGCACCTGGGAGGAGGAATCCGCCCATACTCGTCCCTCTCGCCACGAACCCTGGCTCCTTACGGTCGTCGGCACGGAGACTACGTGCGGCGGTTGCACCTCGCGCGGCATTTTAAACAAATGCTGCTCCGTTCAAGGCATTGCCTCCAACACCTGCAACAACTGCCATTACAATGGCGGTGGCACCGCATGTCCTGACCACATTTAGGCTTGCATGGACTGTCATAACGACAGTAAGCGGTGCGACCGCGCCTCTTCGCTCACGCAGAGGCTCGCCCAAGTCTAGGAGGCGGCGACCTCCAGCAAGGAGAAGAAGAAGGCGTACGAACATGTACGCAGAGCCATGACCATTCAGCGCAACGCCGCTGAGCTGTACAAGGATGGCGCCATCTCCCCGTAGGTCTTTCCTGTCTGTTTTCTTCGTGAAATGAATCCCAGCTAACCAAGACTCCAGACAGGAGTATGCCCGCCTGCTCGCGGCCCGCCTGGAGATGCAGCAAAGGGAGGGACAGGTCCACCCTACCTGAGCCTGACTTTGAGGTTGTGATTCTCACTTCGACCTATTTTGAGTTCAGCCTCCATCTGTCCGAGCTGTCTCAACCACCAAAGATTCATCTTCGAGTCGCTTCTCTTCGGCCTGTTTCTGGGCTTCGACCTCCTCGCGTTGTTGCTCTTTGAGCCGGTTCTGTGCTTCAACTTGCTTGCCTGGCGTTGCACGCTCGTGGATGCCTGCAGTCAGTAGGGTACAGACAACCTGCCTCTTCGTCTCCGACTGATGAGGATCTCGACGACAGTGACGAGGATCTCGACAACCATCACGACCATACCGATCATTTAACCATTCATGACGAGGATCCCAGCAATAGTAGCCAAGATGTCACCGACAATGACGATGATCTCACTGACCCAGAAGGTCCTAACGCCATCACCGTGGTCCCCCACGAACTAGAGGAACACGAAGAAGAAAGGGTCAATGAAAATGGCGACATTGGAATTATCCGTCATCCGCCCTTGGCCATAGTAGATGATAAGGACGCCTAGAGGTATCAAAGAGCCATCATGCAAGCGGTTCGACAGGATCCTCGTTTTGAAAGAAACAAAAACCGGGTGGAAGCTCGCTTCAGTTACATCATTCAGCGAGCAGTAAGTGTGAATATGCGCGCTATGAAGTAAAACCACTTCCTAAAGACCATGAAGATTGACAAGTGGAAAGTTGGGCATTAATATGTTGGGAGCTCTCTGTCTCAACTGCCGTCTCTCCAGACCAGATCACGCATTGTTGGGCAAACTCTGCCTGCAGACGAACTCAACGATTGGATAAAATAACTCTATGCAGCATATAGTACACTACTAGATGACAGAAAGGTCGCTAGGTCTTTTTATTTCATATCTGTTCACGAAAGTCCACTTCATGTACGTGCTTGTCTTCTACGAAGTACGAACCTGTCTGTTGTCCCAGTATTGTATTTCCCTCTTCCAACTATTTCTTTTCACCCCGCTACTTCGTGTTGGGAGGAAAGCCCAGCCTAATACTGTTCAACAGAAGTGGTAGTCATTCTCCAGGGTCTCGGATCCGTCTGGACGAATGTGATGCCGGAGCTGCCTGTCGAGCTCAGGTCGTCAATGTCGTGTCGGCCTCTTACGGGAGGTACCTCCGCCTTTGTAGCTTTCCGTTCTTGTACTCTTCTGAGCAGAGCATCATCCTTATCAACGTTGAAAGATTGTCGTGGCAGTCTCTGCCTCTGCTCAGAGCACCAACCTCAGGAGAGGCACTGCCTTTTTGCGCTTGGTTTATTTTTTTCTTGCCTAATCGCTGGCTGGCTTGTGTCTCGGATTGGCATTTATTCTTGAAGAGAGGATGGATGTAGGTATATCCCGCCCGTTCGCTAGTCGATATTCGAGTCTTTCTTTGTATGTTCGTCGGTCGGTTCGTAACATATTGCGGAGTGTCTGGAGAGTTCTCATTGTGAGCCTTTGAGCTTTATTATCAGGGGCGTCAGGACCAAAGAAAAGTTGATGGGCATTGAAACATGGGTGTCTGCTTACATCTGCCCCAAGTGCGCATGTGGCACAAATCGCTTTCGTATCTAGTTCTGGCCAGGAACTTCTTTTCGGTAGGGATATTAAGAGAACTAGAACAGTCCATCTGTGCCAGATGCTGAGTGAGTTTTCAGTCTTTTCTTCGCCAGACTCCTAATGCTGTGAAGTGCGAGTGTCTGTCGTGTCAAATAGTATACGGCTCATGGAGCTCAAATGTTCGCTCTTCCCTCCTGGGCAGGACATGAAAATTTGCAGAAAATATCGTACCGTTACGGTGGGGTGAGGCAGGAAAGTTGCGCGAGGAGGTATATGGATCGCGTGTTTTATTCCATGTCTTCTCAAGTCGGCACTTGAAGGAGCCGAGTGTCTTCCGTGGCGTCGGCTGACGGCCAAACATTCGGAGATAATATGTGTGCGCATGAGACAGAACATCAATTGCTCGATGATTCATCACTGAAGTAGAAAACTGGAGTTGACTACTAGAAGTAAATATATCCAAGTGTGGGCTGTCAGCACAAGCGAATCTCAGATGCTCGCCATAGCCTTCATGTTCATGCTCGCCTGACACTGGTGGGCTGTCGCGTTACCGCAAAAGCTCCCTCCCCGCAAACTGAGGCTTTGTAATGCCCGATTATTGAGAACAAGTATATCGTCATCAAGTCTCGAGGTGTGCTCGCTGGCCTCTTGTTCTTTTCGAGTCATATGGCGTCGTTCGGCGAGGTCTATCGGGGGAATTTGTTTCGCTCTGTGATATTCGGGATTCGCGTACCTGTCATCCATGGAGTCAGCAAATCCTGAAGCGATCAGGCAGAGGGGCAATGGCGAAGTATAGGAGAAAGTGTGAAAGAGCTCAGAGTAAGGAAAAGAAAGGCAACATACACTCAGTGACTTCTGGTCGATTCGCGACATGAACGGTCTTATTTTGAGCTTTGTGAGATAGAACAAAATGGTGTTTCTCTCTCACACACACTGGTCATGTCGCGGATGGTTGAGCTGTCCAGGCAGTAGTGGGGGGTCGTACCAGGGGAAGATGGCAGGCACCACAATTCGAGTTCACACACAGAGCCGCCCTCCGCCAAGGCAAGCCCTCCAAGCGGGACAGCGATGGCACGCGAGGAAGATGATGAACGATATTGCACTTCGCTATCATCAAGTCATGGATAAACGCGTATGATCTATAATTGAGATGTTGAATCCCATGGCATGCCGCGGACAGTGTCACTTGTGCGCATAAGCTGGTCCGCCTCTTGTCAAGAAAGACCTTCAGTTTGGCTTGCGCGCCTTGCTGAACAATAAGTCCTCACTTCGTTTATCATATGGTGATCAGAAAATCCCTGGAGCCCTCACAGACGAGGCGACACTCTCGTAGATGAAATCAAGGTCATATCATCACACTACCTAGTCCAGTAGAGGTAGTTCAGCTCGCCTGGATAACTTCACGAGCACAAGGCAACCATATGAAGCCTCGTCAGACCCCTCTCGCCGCGTCACCAAGTGGGAAAGCTGGCGGGGGTGTGCTGTCTGGGGGAGAGTTGAGAAGGTCCCGGAGATTTTCGACCCAGGCCGGCCGGCCGCCCCCTCGAGCCGCGCAATCAGCCCGTCAACCAGCCGATTTCCATCTTGCCACACGGCAACAGATGACACTCCCGGCTGTCACTGACGAAAACAAACACGCTGATTACATGAATTTGCACTCGTGACAGGGAATTTGCACTCGTGCACAGACCAGTCCTCGAGGGGTATTTAATATCGTCCTCCTCGCCCCCAGAACCTCTTCCTCTTTTCTTCTTTCTCATATGAACGGTAAGTACCTCGAGTGTGCCACCAGTTGACCTGCCTTTCTCCATGGCTTGTTGACAGACACTTGAGGGGCAAAATCAATTGCCCTAATAGCCTCCGCTAAAGCCTCCTCGCCAAAGGACGGCGCTTATGGCCCTGGCTTTCCCATGCCTTGGCTCGTAGTGCGGGACATTCTTTTTTTTTTTTTTTTTTTTGATTGCTGACTTCACATTCCTTCGCCCGCTGCCACCCGACCTGCCTTCTCCATGGCTTGTCGGTAAACAGGGCTAGAACAATGGCCCTAAAGCTCCTTCTAAAACGTTTAATGCCCTGGCTTTCCCATGCCTTGGCTCGTAGTGAGGGACATTTTCTGTAGTTGATTGCTGACTTCATCATCCGCCCGTTGCCAAACCGACTTGCCTTCTCCATGGCTTGTCGGTCACAGGGCTAGAACAATACCTCTGCCTTTATGACCCTGGCTTTCTCCATGTCTGTGGTCCGTAGTGAGGAACATCCCATCATTCTTTCACTTGATCATTTCTTTGCCCTGGGAAGCCTTGTGCACCCCAGCCGACCCGACCTGTCTTCTTCATGGCTTGTCGGTGAAAACGGGCTAGAACAACCCCTTTTCTTTCATGACCTTGGCTTTCTCAATGCCTGTGGTTCGTAGTGGGAACATCAATACCTCTGCCTAAGCAACCCTGACCATCCCCATGTCTGTGGTTCATAGGTAATGAGGGACATTTCCTGTTGTTGATCTCTGCCGGCTTGATCATCCCTATGCGCTGGGTTTCACATCCCGACTCCCCCAATCTTCCTTTTCCCATGGATGGTTGGTGACAGATGGGCTAGATCAATACCTCTTCCTAAATAACCCCGACCATCTCCATGTCTGTGGTTCGTAGAGTAGTGAGGGACATTTCCTTTCGGTGATCGCTGACTTGATCATGTTTCCCTTTGCGCTTGCCCCGGTCTTCCTCTCATCATAGGTTGGCTGTGTGTCGCATGAAGAGAGATTCAAACCTCTGCATTGTTCGTCCTGGCTCAGCTCTCCACGCCTTGGGTGATGGTCATCAGAGGGAGATTTCATGCTTTCATGCTCAGATAGAACAGAAACAATATAGAGGTATCCAAACATTCATGTGTTGTTCCTCTCGTATCTTCAGCGTTGTGATGTGATTCTGGATCTCGCCGTGAAAACATGTGTTCCATGCTTGTGTAAAACAACACGCTGAGCACTGGTGGCCATAAAACAAGCGCTCCTTCCAGGCTCTTCCTCCCTTGAGTGCTGCTTGTATGAGAAGGATTTGTCCGTTTCAATTGTTGAGGTAGGTAGAGGATATTGGTAAGGCATCCCACGGGAAGCCGTTGGATGCTGCGAAGTGTCGTTTGTGAGGCGTAGGACATTGTTGATAGGATGGTGAAATGAACCAAACCACCATAATGCATTCAACTTCGTTAAGATAGAGGTACTGAATGGAACCGCGAATGTACCGTGGTAGAGTGGCTCTATGCAGTCTTGTCAGAAGCAGGCAATTGCATTGTGCAGCTGCAACTGCTGGTGCATGCAGGAACCGCAGTCGCGACTGCCTTACCCTTTTTCAGTTCCCATCCACCAACCTTTGATCGCGCCCAAACTTGTCTTGGACAATGACATGGCAATGAATCACGCAAAAGTAAGCGTTCCTCCCTCCCTCTCCTAAATGATTGATTTCAAGTCATCGTCTTGGCTAACGAGGTCTTTTTTCTTCCAGAACTCCAACCCTCGAGACTTCTCGCCATTCCCCCGCTTTCCGAACTCCCGCAGAAACCACCACGACATTTGAATCAACAATTTCTACAAAGAAACCGTTTATGCCATGACGAGAGATACCGACCGGAGTGAAAAGAAGGTAGCTCAGCCCGAAATGCGACTTCTTTCCCTAGGTTTCCTCTCGCCGTTACAAACCGCTGGTCGGCCAATTCGCGGCGCGTACGCGAAGGCCTTGGACCGCATGAGCAACCAAAACGGGAACCCATCTCGCTGTTCATCTGGGTATAATCCAGGTAAGCATCCCGTTTTCTGTTACAGCCTCCCACAAATCACTTTCTTTGTTACTGACGTACACAAGCTCCGGCAGTTCCTCCACGCAAGCATTGAATCTTCGTTCGCTCGTTTCTGTACCGATAAAAGACCATACCCGAGTTACAACTTCCTCTCCAAGGCCATCGGCGCTACCAGCAGTTACTATACCATCGACGAAGTGGTCGAAAATTTCACTTACAGAGGGATCGCGCAACGAAACAGCTCAGTTAACCACCTGACGACGTCTAGCCAAGCGACAAGAGAGTGGAAGATTACGCCAATACTTATCTCAGGAAAGAACTTGAAGGTACCTGTAAGGTTGCGTGGAGCGATATGGAACGTGGAGGGGATTGCAGACGAGAATGATAAATGAACGACAGTGGCAGACTTCAAGGCTTTCGCAATGAAGTTTATATCTGGGGCCCTCCCACGAACCGTGTATCTGCTGCGCGCCAGGGAACAAGACGAGGTGCGGTCATCTACCCAACCGGTGAACCACCTGGGTTTGTCACTTCTGATCCGGCACTTCTCGAACGGTTGAAGCGGCATGTACGTCTCGTTATCCCCGGAGCACGCGGAAAAGATGCAGAGGCTCATGGAAAGCTGCAGAAGTGAGGAAGCAACTTCTACTGTTCTGATCTGCGCCGATGACATGCGATCAAGCATCTGGTCGCAAAAAAACATTCATAGGCCTTATCGGAAATGATCTTGCCACATTTTTGCGCGTCGCCTAGAGCCTTAGACTAAGCCGAGATGCCCAGGAGCTGATCTGGCTCGAATTAGACTGCCCCATTGCTGAAGGGAATAGGATTCAGTGGCCTTTCCCGCCTATCTCAGTGTTACCGTGGAGTCTGAGGGTTATGGTCTCGCTAATCCAAGGAGCTCGGGAAGGGACAGCGACTCCCGCCAACTCAGCGGGTCTTCGACCTTTGTTGGCTCTCCAACTTTTCCGGCAATGATGAGCTCGCCATAGGAGGAAATAACCGTCCACTTCGAAGACAGAACCTTCTCGACCTTCCAGTGGGCACTTGAGAGCGCCTTGCTCACTTCCTGGTCTCTCGAACACCTAGACCCCCAAGCCACGGTCCGAGGACGGTCAACCAAGTCACCAGGATATCCTTCAGCAGCGCTAAGCAAAGTTGAGCAAGCCGTACAGGATACCCTGAGGTCGATTCCAGACGACTACAAGCACCTTCGGCACTTGAACGATCATCTATACGAAATGCCCCGAGCCAGTCCTGCTGGCCAGCCAAGTCACGACCACTCGACAACAGAGACGCACCACGCTAGCACATTTCGTTTGTGTGGCGAACATAGTGACTTTCTTTTGGTTTTTACCGCCATGGTGATCTGCTCGAGGGCTTCCTCGACGTTCTTCTTGGAGGGTGGCATGTTGAGAGCGAGATGAGGGTGGTGTTCCTTGCCCAGGTAGGAGATATCGTGAAGAAGTTCCTTAGAGTAACACACGGTCTATAACTTTAACCAAGTTCTAAATGTCGGATGTCCCCAAATGAACCGCCTTCAACCCTTTTGTTACGTTTGTTATCGGTATTTCATCCGGGTGCACCCTATCCAAGTTAGAGGTGCCCCAACCTTTATAGGTGCCCCAGTATTTCAATCCTTAGCCTATTATTTTGATGTAAAATAGTAATTACATGGTAAATTCCATGGTGTTATATGTACATGAAAAAAATCACAGCGATGTCCAGTAACATAGTTTTGTATGGAGATTTGTATGGCACACAATGTTTTCAACATGGGAGAATCTATAGCATTCATCTATATACTTCGATGGCGAGGTAGTCAATGTCGATAAACTCGCTGTCACTGCCGTTGTTATTATCGTCGTCGCTGACGGCATCGCTGTCAATATCCTCGATGTGAGTGAGGTCGATGGGCGCATCTGGATCCCACGGCGGCATCTTAGTTAGAGTCTTGTGCACAATACGCGCAGCGTTTTGAGGCTTCAGGAAAGTTAGTAAACGGTTCTGGTGGTTGATGCGATTAATATTTACGTACGTGCGCTCGATTCTAGCCTGTTCTGGTGATTAAAGGTGGCTTGGTTGTAAAGAGGGAGTAGAAAGAAGGTTGTAAAGGTTAAAGAAGTTCAAAATTACCAAGTCTAAAGATGGGGGTCGTGCATATGGGGCCCACTGGCTAACTGGGCTTGGCACTGTCTTACACAGAAATGCTGTTGTACGATTACTGTTTAATTGTATTAAAGGGTTGAAAAAATAACGTACACGTTAAACCCTAAGCCGATTGGGGCACCTATAAAGGGTTGGGGCACCTCTAACCAAAGGAGGGTGCACCCGGATAAAATGCCTTGTTATCATATGCCCTCAACTTGCAAACTCTACTACTTGATGTTCTGCAAATGACAATGCTGGTGGTATCTCAACACTACAAACAAAAGGGTGCTTCTCAAGCGAGTGGACCGAACAGTTAAGTCGAAATACGCTGGATATGGCAATCAGGACACTCTCAAATACACCCTGGACTCTTAAAGTTCAAGTCAAGACACTACGCTATTTATATCCTGATTTATTCGCAGAGAACAGCAGGTTTCTCCTTGGGAAAAATCGGATGGAAGTAAAAGCTGGAGGTAGCAAGTAAACCGCGAATGAAACCACTGAGAACCTCAAGTTCTTCAAGCCGAAACTACATCTGCCTACCCAAGTGAGGTCCTAAAGGGCAGCACTGCTCCTCACCCCATATCAAGCTCAGTCTTTCCAGACCTTAAATCCGGGTATTCGTAGTGCACAAACAGGGCAATAATGGACAAGGCAGAGGTAACCGAAACTGAAGTAGATGTAGAGCAAAGACACCGCAGAGTGTTCTTCATTAGCGTTGCTCAAACGAGTGAACTCTTTTTCCACACCCCGGGAATTGACATCGGAGCAACGGGATCTCGGATCCAAAAGGGCTCATCTGCGTTTCTCTCCTTGGCGCCAGCCTCAATACCACCTTCACCACCATCGCCGAGCCGACTGCGAAAACCTTATGTGCTCATCCCAGCAGCTTCTTGAACCCCGGCCCATCTCAGTCTTCTATGCTCGTGTCGTGTAGCGTGAGAGGTGCCTGGCCCGGAAGATATAACAATGAAATATCGTAAGTGTAAAGAATGTCTGCCCTCAATGAGAATAATTGTAAAAATGACGTAAATCGAAAGTGTGCCGTGTGTTCCTCCATGCCTCGCTGTGTTCCTCTATGGGTGTTCGATATAAGTGAGAACCTGGAATGAAGGAATTTTAAAACATATGTAGATATGCTTGACTATGGTGTAAAGACTCGAGTCTGGATCCTATTACAACTGCAAAATTCCGGTCGGAATCAGAAGCCGTACCAAGGGTTCCGGCCAGCTATGGGCGCTTGAGGTTTCTCCTGGGGATGGTGAAGGTCGCTTGTACTCCTGTTCCATTCTATGCCGAGGAAGTCGTTCATACGGTAATAGCGATACTGTTTAGTGGCGGGTGCCTAAGTGCTTTCGCACGCATTTTTCTGGACTCTGCCCATTTGTTTGACGATATCCCGGGGTTTGCCGGTAATGAATGAATCGTATAAGACGCCGGGGAAACCTCGAAGTTTGGACAGTCTCTGATGCTCTTCCATGCATTTCTGGCCGGCAGAAATTTCCCTCCGCTCCAGTCCCCGCGCCCGCCATGCGTGCTGCAGAGTGGGAAGGTCAACTATCCGGAGCTCATCAATTTTTGGTCCTGCTCCTGGAGGATACTCGATCGTCTTCGACAACTTCTTTCCGGGAACCCCGCATTACGGTAAACACATTGAGATGGGCTGGTTCATGCCTGAAATGGAAGACACCACCATCGAGGAAGGAATAGACATTGCCCAAGCCTTTGAAGTGGCCTGTCAGTACCTCAACAGCTACAGTCCCAGCCGGGGTCAGAATCAGCATCATATCGGATGCTTACACGGTCATAAACATGATCAATGACATTAGGGTCCCTCGAAAGAGGATTCACGTTGGGATGATGAACCCTATGCGCCAGAAGGCGCTTCATAACGCTTCCGCTAAGACAATTACCCTCTGGAAGGAACTTGACCCCAATGATCCTTGGGCGAATTCGCTCTCTCCTTGCGCACTCACTTGCTAGCCTGCCGGCTGGTAGGTTCCTCAACAGCCTGCCTGAGCAAATCGGAGACACTCTTTTCCGACTCGCGCTTTCCACTCCAGCTACCGCCCACAATTGATGAGCTCTATTCCATTGTATGAGCTCAAGCGGAAAGGTCACGGGAAGCTAACACTTCCACGCGCTTCCAGAACTCCAGCCTTGAATAGAGCACCCCTGACTCATCTCGGGTTCTTGCTTGATGAGATCAGACGGGTTGATATCAGAAGACCTTCGAGTGGACGCAGGTGGAATAATCTTTCTGCGAGGCTAGCCGTTTTTGTATGTCTTGCGTTTGACTTCATGTACATACCTTGACTTCGAAATTTCATCTGAACATTTCAGAGTCACTGGACTCAATAGAAGCCAATCATTTGACTAGGGGTCTTGAAAAATCCTATTGTGATAGAGGTAATGGAAGGAGCCCCAGCTGGCCGAGCAACAAGTTCGCAATGTGCGTTGCCTAATTCAGATAGCAAACAAGCAATGACGCGTAGCTCACTATTCACTCAAAGCAGAATGAGTAGCAGCCCATTGTTGTGCGTTGTCTTTGTGTACCAACTCTCCCGGTATTTCAAAACCCTTCTCACACTGCCGTTCTTTGTTCTCCCAGTGCCCCTCCCTCCCGGAAACATCATCACCACTTCTTTGAACAACACCACTACTCACACCAAGTTGTAAGTTTTCTTTGTCTCAAAGACAACATTCCATTGTTCTCAACGACCAAAACCAGCTAATCAGCTTCATTAGCCAAGATGAACCAGAACCGGGAGCACCAGAGCCCCACTGCCGAGGCGCAGAGCCCGGCTGCGGACAGCCATAATGGCCAGTCCACCACTACCCCCGAGGTCGAGGACCAACTTCTCCTCGATTACCACCACCCCCAAGAAGATCAGGAAGATCTCCAGCCCCAGCACCAGCATCTGCCCCAGCCCCAGTACGTCGAGTCCGAGGCGAACTTCGGCTCTGACAGCAGTACCGACGTGGAGGACAAGTACCCCACTCCCAACCCACATGCTGGGAAGAACGAGATCTTCATAAAAGAGAAAAAAATCCGCGTCACCACGGAGATCACCATCGTCAAGGTCATTACCATCAGGAATATCACCAAGAGAAAGGACGGCATCTACAGGGGCCCCAAAATCACCGTCGACAGCGACCATATAGCAGGTTCTCACACAGAACGCAAGGAAGTCGTAATCGAGGAGACCGAGTCGGGCTGGATCACCGACGACGAGGCAGAGGCAAAGGCAGAGGACGAGGGCGACAAGGCCGCTCCTGGCGGCGACAACACCACCACCGCCGCCGGCTCCTCCCCTTCCAACGTCGACAACGCCGGCAACTAAAATCATCTTGTCGTCAACTCTGCGACATCGGCTAACTCCCACTACAACGGAGTGGTTCGATAAGCGCGGTCAGGGACCATTGTCAGAATCGTGTCAACAATACCAGCAGCCTGCGTCGTAGAACTCGTTCTATCGCGGGCCAGTCCAACCGTCATCAGGACAGCACTTCAACCTTCTCCTCCTCTTCCTCAACAACCACCTTCATTTCCAGATTAACGTCCATACCCCAACGACTTGCGGTTGATCCCCTCCTATACCTAACCGTATGTCAACTCTGCGACATCGGTCAACTGCCCACTACAACGAGTGGGTTCGATAGCGCGGTCAGGGGACCATTGCCAGAGCCTCTCGGCAATACCAGCAGCCAGCCAGCAGCCTGCGTCGTATAACTCGTTCTATCGAGTCGCGGTCAGTCCAACCGTCATCAGATCAACACTTCGACCTCTTCCTCCCCCTCGTCATCATCAAACTCAACCTCATTCTTTGGCACTTTCTCAACGCGTGACGGCCTGCCATCATTCCGCCATCACCTAAATATCACCAAACCGCTCTCACTCACTCATCAACAACACAACCACATTCTCCCAACCTCCAGTCAACATGGCGCACCAACAAGCCCAAAGACAAGGGAAAGGGCAGGGCCCGGTGGAACCTCCCACAGCCGACCTCTACGGCGAGCGCGCCGTCCAGCGCGAAATGCTTCGCTACCAACAAGACAACGGCTACCCGTGCGTGCTCTACCGGCGCGGCGAGCTGCACATAAGAGAAACTCCAGAGTACCGAGCGCTGCGCAGGAAATGGCGACCCCCCATTCCCGGCCCCCTCTGGAAAAACCACTTCACCAACCCGTTCTACGGCGCCAACCAGATGTACGAGATCATTCCCTTTTCGCGCCGGGGCATGCCGGCCAATCCTGGCCAGAACCCTAACCAGGCTGCTGCACCGGGGCCGCAGGTGGGCGACAGGTTTAAAGTGCAGCAGCCTCAGCATGTCCAGGAGGCGATTGCGAGGACGAGGCAGTTTTTGGAGTCCAACTCGGATTTTCGGATTAAGAAGGTGCTTGGTTGGGGTGGTATGGGCGCGGTGTTGCTGGCTGAGTTGAGACAGCCGAGGGAAGGGCAGTCGCAGAACGTGGTGGTCAAGATGAACTTGCTCGAGAAGGGTAGAGAACATTTTAGGCAGGAGAAGCAAAATCATATTCGGGTGGCCAGGGCCGCGCACGTGGTTCAGTGTGTCGTGGTGGAGGACAGGCAGGACAACAAAGAAGGACCGGGTATAAACAGGATTGCACCACCAGCGGCACCGGCAATAAAGAGGAAGTACGCTGGCGATGCTGCGGATGCGTCCTTTCAGGTCGCCAAGAGGACACGTCTGACGACAGGTGAAGAGGAGAAAGCCCCGGGCGGTGAAAGGCCGGTAGCTGCGGCGCCAGCTTCAGGAGAGTCGCCCAGACGAGCACTTCGCGGTCCTCTTGCAAGGGCTATCTTCGACCGAGCGAGAGAGGCCCTAAACCTTAAAGGGGCAAATAAACGACGCACCGACGGAAACCACGACATCAACACACATCCAGACTTGCTCGTCATTGAGCCGATGTGGCGTGGTGACTTCGACTTGTGGGTAAGGAAGATGGCCCACTCGGGAGAGCAGTTTCATTCTAAAGTGCTTTGGTTGATCTTTGAGTGCTGTAAGTCTCACCCCCCAGTTGACTCGTATGCGGAAGAAGACAACGGAAAAGAAAGTATCGTACTAACCATTATCTCAAACAGTGTTCAAGGGCGTTCTCGCTATGGCTCACCCCCCTCGGCACTATCATGAGTATAGGGAAACTGGAGGAAGGACGGGCCCCATTATGGAAGAGCGACTGCCAGATAGAGAGGATTTGATCAACTTTGATAGGGATGCCTTTATACACTTTGACTTAGATCTAGCGAATAGTGAGTGGCTCTTTTCCCGGGACCTTGTAGATTCCAAACGGCATGCTGATGTGTGAATGTGTAGTCCTTGTCGGAGATTTCAACGTGCCCACTCGAGATTCGCATTCGATAACGCCAAATATCAAGGTGAGTAACATACCAGAGCTCGACCGCATGATGGCGATGAAAGGCTCCGAGCAGTTGCTGACAATGACTTTTGCCTGGGTTGTAGATAGCTGATCTTGGTCTGGGTACGAACATGGCCACTGAGAAAAATGATTTGTAAGTTCAGCATCGATACCTAGAATAATTCCTCTCGATATCCAAACTCACGGCTTTGAGCTCAGACACAGTTGGCTGACTTTTTCCTCTTCCTTAGCTTCAAGATGTGGGGGTCAAGATTCTGCGGCAAGCCATCGGCGGGCTGGCTCTCACCGGTAAGTATCTTCTTCTCCCAGTATGCTCTTCCGGTATCCCGTTACGGCGACATCTGTTGGTAGCTTGACGTTAGCATCGATAGTTCATATGTAACTAACACAAAATTCTTCGCTGACCAGGAGCAATTTCACCCCGAATGGGACCACATCAAGTACACGCCATCGTCAGCCACCAACTTCACTCCTACCATCGCCGGTAATTACAGTTGGAAAACGAACCTGTACTGGATCGGTCAGGTTATGTGGTGTCTCGTAACGCTCCACAAGCCCTCTAGAATGCCGTTTCCGTACTGGATCAGTGACTCAAGACCTCCAGGCCGCCGTCGGGGTCGAGTTGGAAAGGAAGGTAGATTCTGGTCCTGGGGTGGTCTCGTCAATCATAGGAGGTACGATCACATTGACGAGGACCTCCGTGCCGCCATTGTCTTGTGCATGGCCGACAGTCCAGCCATGCGGCCTGAGGCAAAAGAGCTGTGGGATTGGATCCACGAGAAGACGACGTCTGAATGGGAAGGTTTGGCGGAAGATGAGGCCCGTCAGTGGGCTGCAACATTCTTCGAATCACCAGGAATCCCGGGTCCAACAAGGCCAGGCGTCTTTGAGCAGCCAGGGGGAGACAGAGAGGAGATTCCGGCAAAGAACACAAGACCTCCTTGGGGCAAGATACCCGAGTTGGCTGGTGTATCGCCCAGTAAACAGGCCATGAACACCTTCGACTTCACTTTCAAGGTCCCCGGAAAGTGGCCCAAGCTCCTCCAGTCCAGCAAGCCCGTCAAAGTTAAGAAGAAACCAGCGTTTCCGAGACCACCAAAGGCCGCAGAGAAGACTCCGAACCTTGATCCTCAACAGGCCGCACCGAACCCTCCGAATCCTGCTCCTCAACAGGCCGAAGAGACCCCCAAAAAAGGTCCTTTTGGGCGTCCACGCAGAAAGTCCAGTGGGGTGAAAGCGGAACAAATAAAGGCAGCCGTTAAAGCCGTTGAAGCCAACCCAGTTCCACAAGAAAAAGTTGTTCCCGATTCCCAAGACCCTGCCCAAGAAGCAACCGTACGACCCGCAGCGCCAGTAGCTCAAACCCCAGCAGCGGGAGCACCACCAAAGCGACCAAGTCCAAAGGAACGCATTCAAGCAGCATTAGAGGCAACCGCAGCGGAGCCCGCACCGGCACCTGTAATCCCGCGGCTACCACCGCCCAAGGCCGGGACCAACGCGGTAGCCGGACGAGTCCGCACCTTCGTCGTGCCCTCCGACTCCACCGCGGTAACCAGCTCGACCGCAGCCGCAGCCGCAGCCGCAACCGCAATAGCACAAGCGACATCGAGAGCACGAGCGGCACGAGCGGCACGAGAGGGAGCGCCATCACCTCCCACCAACAAACGGCTCACAGCACTCGGGCCAGGCGTTCGTCTCCTTCCCCATACAAAATCCGGCGCCATTCAGGGTACGCCCCTACAACCGAATCCTCCTCGTAAGCAAGTGAACTACCAGACTCCCCCTCCGATCGCTGCAGATGCCGTGGTGCCCTTCCTGCCTCGGGAATTGGGAACGTTCCGAGGAAAGCCGATTGGTCGCGGAGCGGCAGCTCAGAGGCAGAGAAAGCCGGGCGGGATGTATCGGCCGCCTCAGCAGAATCAGCCGCTACAGGAGAATCGGCCGCCTCAACAGAATTGGTTGCCACAGCAGGCTCAAGGACCACAACAGCCTCAGGTACCACTTGTCCAGCAGGCCCAGCAGCCAGTCCCCCAACAGCCTCAACAACCACCGCCACAACAGCCCCAACTCAAACTCCCAACAGCATTCATCTTGCCCAATAACCGACCAGGCGGATCGGCACTACTACCCCAAAGACCACCAGGACCGCCAACACCACTCGTACGCAGACTAAACCCCGTCAACCGCAAAGTCGGTGCTCAATACGACATCGGGGCGCGGCGGAAGAATATTCTCTTGAGGGGCCCAAGCCGCTTGCAACAAGCCTGGACGCCGCGGGACCTGGCCGAAGGAGGCAAAGCCGGAAGGGCAGGGAGCGGTTTGTTTGCTGGATTGAAGCTGCGACGTAGACCGGCAGCGGAACAGGCTGGGGTTCCAGAGGCAATACAGGAGGAACCTGAGGAGGAAGAGGAGGGGGCCGGAGAGGCTGCGCAGGCTAGGCAAGGACCTGGGTCAGGGCAACCTGAACAAGAGCTTACATCATCGATACCACAAAGGGGGCCTAGTGCGCTCATAGTTGGTTGGGAACACTTGAAGGAAGAGCCAGAAGTCCCGTTGTCTCCACGTGAGCTAGAGGAACGCCGGCTCGAGTTTGAACGGTATAAGGCAAGGAACTTGTTATTCGACGGCAGCATACTCGGCGTAAATTGGGATGATGAGGACTCGAGTGATTCGGACGTAGAGATGGGAAGTACTGGTGGTGAGAGGGAGGACGAAAGTCAAGACGCTATGGTGATGTCCGGAGAACCCAGTACCATCGGCAGGTTTGGAAGTTTCTTTTTCCGGTTTGGTGGCTTTGGACGAGGAGGATCGAAGTCATAAGAAGGTTGGTGTTGAAGGTTGGGAGTTTGGGTGGGTGTTTTTGTGTTTTAATGGCGACAGAGTCAATAGAAGGAAATGGTTGGCGTTGCTGCCGTTTCTTCCTGTTAGAGCCCGGCGTTTGCTCGTTTTTGGGTTTCCGGTTCTTCCGTTTGTTTTCGCTCGCTTTATTATTGTTAGGTACTTTGAGCATAGCTTTGCTATAGTTAGACAAATCTGGACTAGCATCTATAACATGGTTAGGTCCTTCTCCACCACTATAACTTGGAACATCAGTCATGGGGATTCTATGTGCAAGGCAATGATATATGATATGTTCAAAGGTAGTATGTACAAGAAGGAGTAAACGATCAGGGGATCAACGCTTTCAAACAACAAGACATACTTGTCTCGTTGGGCGATTTCTCGCTGTTACTACAGCAACTCTTCACAAGTTCCCGTCACTTAAGGGGTGTAGGTCTTGAGGAGGCTGTTGTAGTAGGTATAGCCAGTGCCCGAAGGAGGCTCAAAGCTATACATGTAGTCACCCCACCAGGGGCCGGCAGCCCACCAGAGAGCACCCTCCCAGACGTCAGAGTTAGCCTTGAGGTGCTCAAGGAGACCAGTGACAGCAGCCTTGCAGACCGAGTTGGCACCACCGGCGAACTCGCCGAGGACACCCTTCTTTCCGTTGGCGCGGAGCCAGGCGGTGGCACCAACGATGCGCTGAACACCAATCTCGGTGGAAACGCAGGCGGTGCTGGTACCGGAGCTGTCGGAGTCCAGGTACTGGTGCATCTCGTAGACGATCTTGTTCTCGGGGTCGGTAAGGGCAACCAAGTTGGTGTTGGTCACGTTCCAGGACCAGGCGCCAGACCACTGGTTACCCTCAACGAAAATGTACTGGGAAGTTGCACCGGCGGCACGGATACCGTTAATGGCGGCCTGGTTGAGGTTGAGGACAAGGGTCTGGTCCATGGTGTTGTACTCGTTGTTGGTATCGAAGATGACCTTGGAGTTGGAAGCAAACTTGGCAGCAACATTTTGCCAGAAAGTCTTGAAGGCGTTAGTATCGGTGATGATCTTGCCATAGTAGCGGCCATAGTTGTGGGGATCGAGGACAACATAGGCACCAGAGTTGGTAACAGAGTTGACAACCTGGGTGAGGTTGGTGAGATAGCCGTTATCGAAAGACGAGGTCAGGGTGTTGGGGACAAGGCGCTCCATGGAGAAGGGAACACGGAAGGTGTTGTAACCCTGGCTGCGGAGAGTCTATAGTGCCATACGAGGTCAGTATCAAGCAACCAAATACCATGACAACAAGGCGAGGTGACATACCTGGATGGTGTTGGTGTCGGGGAAGATGAACTCGGTGCCCCATCTTCCGGGGAAGATACCATCACCGAACTCACCACCGGACTCGTTGACACCGAACCACTTAAACTTGCCGGAGGCAGAGGCAGTAGTGGTAGTGGCAGGAGGGGCAGTCTTGGTCGAGGTGACGAGGGTGGTGGTGCGGGCAGTGGTGGGAGCGGCAGTACCAGGAAGGCACTGGCTATACCAGTCGTTCACGTAGCTGCAGCTGTATCCGGAGACGCAGGTGGTGGCGCCGGACCAACCGTTACCGCCGCATTGGCCCCAAGCACCGCTCTGGGCAAGGGCACCAGCGGCGAAGGTGCTGGCAAGAATCGTAGCCTTCATCTTGACTTGGAAGAGGGTGAGCTGAGGAACTAGAATCCTTGGCGATGACCCGAAAGAGAGGAGCAACAAGATGGCAGCGGTGATCTCGGCATTTTATATGTACAACGAAAGGCTTGATGTCGATGCCGAGGAAGCGCTGGTGGCTAGGCAAGGATGCGGCTCAAGGCCCGGAGCTTGTTCCCATCCTTCGTCGGTTGCTGGTGCTAGGGGAGTAGCGAGCTCGTCTCCGATCTATCGGAGTGAAGTTATGGGGCAGCGTGGCATCCAGAGGCCTTGGATCACATCAGGTTGAGCGTGTAGAGGTTGCGGGCCGGCATCCTGGGAAGTGTCTTGAAGGAGAGACACCCGCCGACGTTGCCTTGAACAATGAAGGGGGCGGTAGAGCGCAGGCCGGATGCCCATTCTGGACTAAGCGTGAGGTTGTCGGCCCGTGAGTGCAGGTGGGAAATGCCCTAACAGCTTGAGCTTCCCGGTTCTTGGGAATCGAGACGATTCCAGCGGTGCGGAACGTGCGGGGAAGTCGGGGAGGCCGGGGCCATGGTTCGGGTTGGACCGCGGATGGACGATCTCCGTAGCCGTGTTGGGTGAAGCATGGAAAGGGTCGATCCGCCGATGCTCCTTAAGTTCAGGACCCTTGCAAGTCATGCAACACTGTCCCGGCATTGTACGGCATTCCTGGTTTCCATATGGTCGAACAAGTCTTCAAAGGAACCGGCGCCGGGTCCGAATCCCGTCGGAGTCCTCCGTTTATATTTTCACCTGGAGCGTTGTTGCCGGTTTGTCTTTGGTGTTGTTGAATCAGGCTGTGTTGAACAGGACTCGTAACAAATCAAGCAAATCAAATCTCGGGTCGAATTTGGATTTAATTTGGGCTAAAATGTCCGGATTTGCTTGACAAGTGGAAAAATTGGGCTTGGATTTGGAGACTCAAATCCAAGTCAAATCCAATAAGGGTTAGGGATATAGGAGGGAAAAGGACTAAAAGGTACTTAGGTACCTGGAAATTTCGAAGCTAGGCCCTAGGCCAGTCCCACTATTTTGTAGTTCGCTAGACAAAAACGGCATATTTCTACACTTATACGCCTTTACGCCTAATAATCACTACTGACTTGTACTTACCAAGTCAAATCTAGGCCTGGATTTGGGTTTACAAGTCAAATCTCTACCCTGGATTTGACCCCCTCTGGAGGTGGATTTACTTGGATTTGGATTTGGGAGGTTTGATTTGTTACGAGTCCTGGTGTTGAATGCAGTACTTGCCGGATCATGCCAAGAATTGAGATTTGGGGACCAAAAACACGGGGATGGAATCCAAACGAAGATCGATGTCTGAAAAGAATGACCGTGGGACGATGGAGGTGGAAAGTTCACCTCTTGCGTTTACATGTGCGTTATGGAAGTACTCACTCCTACTGCTGCTTTGGGCAGATGAGAGGTATCTCACTAACATTTACACGCGGAAGCCTCCAAGGATACACAGTGGGCCCAGCTCGCTTGCCAACCGGCGCCAGGGAAAGCATTTCCAGCGGACTGCGCACGGATCACATAGGGGGAGAAAGAGCGATGAACACCACCAGAATCACGTCACACTTCCACTTGCACTTGCACTTTGTTCGACTGTTCAACTTGACGGAAGTGACGGGAGTGTTCGTGTACGCGCGGCTCGGGGCGTTGCACCTTCCGGAAGAATTCGAACTGTGCACGGGAAAGAAAATTCTTTCAAGTTGCTCAGGGAGAAAGAACACCTGGAACTGTGCGAGTCCAGTTGACAGCTTCCAATTCGAAGGACACACAAACTCAGGCCAAGGATCACGTCCTATACCAGCGACAACATTCTCCAATCTTCCCCCCTATGGCTCAAACTTTGGTAAGAACTCTCTCTTGATGAAATCTTCGTTGCATTGGTATTGCTTACGCCCGGGATGTCTCCAACCAAGCCAACTATGCATGCTTTGTTCTGCAAAGGGAGAACATGGTCACACCATCAATGATTCCGGAATCTTCCCATTCACAGCATCACCAACCAAACCATGGCCACCAGGCATTCCATCCCACATCCTCACTGCTGCAAACCCCTCCCAATAACCTGCAAATACTTACACCTCAACCCCAGCCCGTCATCAAACGGAATCATCTCCATCGCCGTCTTCCCGCCCGTCCCAAACAACAATCTCTGATGCTGTGCACTCGCCTTATCACCGCTTTTCCAAGCCTTCCACTCCACGCCCCCACAACACCGCAACTTATTCGGATCAAACGTCTTGATAAAGCTAACCCAATAGCCTTGCATCACCTGCACCGCCGCCGCGTTCGTCCCTCCCGGTAAATAACTCTTGGGAACCTGCCCACTATACCACATGTTCGTCGGTCCAAAAAGGGCATTGAGCTCCACGATATGCGGCACCCCCAGCCCGCTGGCCATCTGATCCCGGTCCTCGACGTTCCACCGATACGCCCATGAGCTTGTTCCCTTTTGGTAGTCGTCGTTGTAGTTGTCGAACGCGTCGTTGAGGTACAAGCCGGGACACATGTACCGCATCTCGCCGTAGACGTTGCCCGCCTGCCCGCGCCAGCAGCCCATACTGGGACAAGTGGAAGCGTGCGGGTTGGGGTACAGCTTGTTGAGGGTGTCGAGCTGGCTCAGGGTGATGGCGGGGAACTGGTCCTTGATGAACTGGTTGCTGTCGCCGAGGGAGCTGATGCGGCCCGGAGCGAAGCCGCTGCCGCCGTTGGTGTCGTCGCCGAAGATGACTGGTATGTTTTTGGCGAAGTTGCCGTTGCGGAAGGCGGAGTAGGGGGAGTCGGTGACAAAGTCGCCGTCGATGACGGGGGACCACATGTAGATGGGTCCGTTGGACGAGCCTGGGTACGGGATATCGTCGTCCTTATCAGCGATTTCTTTTTGCGTCTTGGACCGCAGGCAGGCCAGGCTGGCGGCGGAGTCGCTGCTTGCGCAGCCGAGGCGGATCATCAGGTTGTCGTATTGGTACTGGGCTTGGTCGACGGTGAGGACGGTGCCGAAGGAGACGGACTCGGCTGCTGCTGCGTGGAAGAGCTTTCTGTTGCCGTCTTTGTCGGCCATCATATGGTAAGCCACGCTGGCCGCACCGGCTGAGGCTCCTCCGAGAACAACGTGGTTAGGGTTGCCTCCAAACTGGCTGATATACTTTTGCACCCATTCCAGAGCCTTGCGCTGGTCTCGAAGCCCGTTGTTGGCAACGACCTGCCGTTTGCTGGTGAGAAACCCGTACGGCCCCACGCGGTAGTTGAGGGTAACCACGACGATGCTGTTTGAGCTCGCCTTTATGAGCCCGGTTCCGTTGAGGTTGGGGTTAGCATTGTCGTTGAAGCCTCCGCCCTGGATGAAGACGAAGACTGGTAGTTTTGAGTCTGTGATCGCATTCGTTGGCGCGTAGACGTCCAGGAACAGGCAATCCTCCGAAGTCAGGGAATTACCCGGCTGTCGAACACACCAATTCCCATGCTATTTCCTCCGCGATTAGCCACTATTTCCCCGGCCAACACTTTCTCTGGGCTTCACACCATCCGGCTCACGGAAGTCTCACCTTATTTGCCGCTTGAGGCTCCGAGTAAAACAGCGGATCCTGCGGAGGAGCGAACCTCAGGGCACCGACAGGCGGTGCCGCGTATCGAAGACCGAGCCATTGACTGACGCCATTGCCGAGTTCTGTTCCGACATACTCGCTATACGTGACGTTGACTACTATTTGAACGCATGTTGCAGTCGAAGCTAGTAGAAAGATGATTGTTGACAAAAACACCTGAAAGGCAAAGCCAAATACTGCTCTCATCGCGCCCGTTTGTTGTGCTGCCCAAACGTTGGACGGGAGAGGCAGAGGCGGATGGGAGATTCTGTGAAAGCATCCGTCCCCTTTTCTCGGTCTGGAGGCGGAGAAATATGGAAGTTCTTTCCTATCGATTTGAGTGAATTCCTTTGTCTCATTCACTTGAATTGGTCACTTGGGCCTTTCGGCATGATAGTCTGCCAAGGGGGGTAGGTAGGTAGGTACGGATTTGTCTGACACGGGAACCGGTGCCTGGTCACTAACCTGTCGACCAACCGTCTGATATTGATAGCTTGTTCAACAATGGAACAATGTTGTTGTTTTTCGTCTTTCTTGGGTTCATCTAAACTTGTCCCCCGCCAATGAGGTTGTTGGTCGGGCTCACTCGGGCCTGATCTTTGTTGCGGTCCATCCGTCTGATGATCAACTGTATGTAGTGCGGCGTGATGGCACAAACTTTCGATTCACGGGTGTCACAGGAATGGGGGTGAAGGGGACGGATATCTTTACACGATTCGCCATGTGCCCTGACCAATAAGCCGGGACCGCCGCTGCTGGCGATTAATCTCCGGATTGCCCTTCCAGATACAAGGGAGACGGTGAGGCTTTGTGCTTTGTACTTTGTGTATGTGATATAAGGGATGTTGTTCGTTACCAGGGTTCTTGGTCAAGTTGTGCCGCCTCCTGCTTTGAGGACAAAGAGTGTCCCTGCCTACCCTTGTTGCTCAGCCAGAACCAATCCAACTCGTGCCTGGTTCTTCACTAGCGTGCGTGGATGTTGGCTCTTTGCAAGATATCAGACGCACAAACATTTGCCAGGGCCTTGGTTGAACCGCTCTTGTGCTCGCATGACGAGTATATGTAAGAACCACCGCAGTATCTGGTGAGACTCGAGATGCGCGACCACGTTTTGATTTGAGATGGTTTTGAGCAGTGGTACGTACAACGACTTCGCTGGCTTTGCGTCATGGGGTCCAGAATCATTGAAGATCGAAGGTTGGGAAAAGGCCCGGGCTAGGTAATCCGTGTTTGTTGAAAAGCTTGATTGATAACAAGCTTTGCCAAGGTCCAAGGTCCAAGGATAGGGGATCTTCTATCATCCAGACACTACTAACTGACCGGTAACCGGAGAACACTTGATTTGTGTTTTTGGGCATATACACACAGGCCTGGGGTCTTCTTGAGGACCGTGACTCGCAGGAGGGGCCGCCCGAACGGGCGGATAACGTGACGCAGCCAGAACCGGACTGCCCTTGGGCGTAAAGAAGCGGTATGAGTCCGACCCGATAACATTACCGGTGCTACCTACCCAGTAGGTACTAATTACTTACTGCATGAGGTGCATTACTAATGTTCCCGTCACTAATAATAGAGAGCCGGCAGTTCTTGGTGGTGCGGCGCTTGCCTACGGCCCTGGCTCATACACCTACTATTACATAGGTAGGTACACCACAGAAAATGACGGGTAGGCAACTGTACCTGCGCTAGCGTACACTGGACTCTGACAATCATCGTCCCTTATCGCTTAGAACCGGCCGGCGGGTGTCGGGATGTGACTACGGCAGCCGCCACTCTGCCGCTGGGTACGGGCAAGTGACTTAACGTCTTAGCTTAGAGTCCCGGGGCCGGAGGCCGAGAGGACGGCCCGTTTGGCTTGGCGGCTGTCGTTCGAATCGTAGCCGGGTGGTGGATAGCGCCGCCGGATAGCGCCGCCGATGTGATTACGTACAAGACCGCTCCGATATGCCGTCCGATGTCTCGGCTTGTAGCGGGTAAAAACGGTGATGGATAGAAGCTATGGGGCTACGCAAATTGAAATCCACAGCGGTAAAAAAGAGTTTGGAAGATATACCAAGCCGATACCCCGACCTGACCCCGATCGAGTCGTGACTTGTGGATGGTGGTGACTGTTGCGATCGAGGATGAGGGATTGATAGCAGTGGAACCCGAAGAACTGATCGACGCGGAATCGGGAATTCGGGATGAATGGGCTGCATTCGCGCGAACTTCGGCCGTCTGGATAAGAATAAGGAGGGAGGGGGGTTCAAAGATTTGGATTGGAAATCGAGGCGTTGTGAAGGATGACGTGCAAATATTTTGGATACTCTGTGGGTTGGTGAAGGCCGACTACGGCGTCGACGAGTTTCGTTGCAAAGATTTCGTAAAAAGCTCCAACAGAATGTGGAACGGTGAAATGACCGGTTGACGGGGTGGCCGAATATCCGGGACCGTGGTGGAGAGAATGCAGGTGGAGATGTTCTGCGGAAAAGTTTAAAAGGCACAAGGTACATGGCTGGAAAAGAAAAGTGAAGGCACGGGACGGGGACGGCAACGTGGACTGCTCTCAACAGGGGAAGAGAAGCATTGTCAACCATCTGCTGCTCAAAAAGATTGGTGATATCTGGGGCCCGTTTGGTTCATCCAGCTGTTTTTTAAACGTGCTGATTTGGGGTACATACAAAGCGGAAAATGCAGCTAGAAAGCCACTGCTTTGTACCAGGCGAGCCAGGCGAGCTAAGCAAAGACGTGGGCTAAAAGATGCGTTGTTATGACCAGGGTTGTGATTCGCCCTGTGTGTTGTTGTGACAGGGGGTTGTGGTGGAGGAAACAGCAAAAGCACCTATCTTCATGGTCACCCCCATGAAGATAGAAAACAGCAGAATTGGCCAAAATGGGCCCACCACTTCCCCTCTTGGGCCTTCCGAACCGCCTGCCTTAGCGCGATACTTCTTGACGCAGCCAAGCTGGGTTAAATGGGCAAACTGACCCCCAACTTCCTGCATGAAACAACTTGCTGATTTGCAGGGGTCGATTTCTCATACAAAAGAAAAAACAGCTGGATGAACCAAACGGGCCCCTGACCTGGATGGACATGAATCGAAGGGGAAGCAATGAGGGCCGACTAACTTGTGGGTCTGGGAATTTCTTATGAGCATGTGACCGAGAGCAATGTCAAAAACGGAAATGTGTGTCTCAGCTGCGCAGGGTCCGATGGGAAAGGGGAGGTGGGAGATTCGTGGGCCGGATTCGGGAGCTCATTCGCCGAAAAACAAGACAAAGGGGACCCGGACCCGGCGCCGGTAGCTGCAAGATGCGATCGGGAATGTGTCAAAAGGGGCCGGAGATATCGAATTCTGGGCGCTCATCAGGCGGGCAGTGCTCCGATCCTCTTCAGGAGTTATCCTTGTCGTGCCAGCACACTGCCGATTTGAATTTTTTATGCTTTTCAGACCTTTTGGTTGTTTCAAGACCTTCGTATTTATAGCGTACATCACTATGGTTGGCTGCCCGCAGTCTTTAAAATGCACGGCATGGCCGAACGACCCCACCACGGACCACCGCGGGCATCCATCGGAAGACGGCACGCTAGAAAGTGGGGATACCGCGGTTGCGGCCGGGCCGCTGACAGTCTGCAACGGGCTGGCAGACTGCGATAAGCGCTTATCTATCACCTCTCCCAGCTGTTGCTAGAGGCAGAACGGGGGCAGATAGCCGCTTTCTGTCCGGGCAGTGCAGTGCAGGTGCTGCCAATAGACAAATCCAATGCAGGGACGACAACATGATGGTGATCCCATTTGCCCACCTGGGAGATTCGTCCATCGTCGATACAGTATCTCCAATCTCGATCGGCTTGTCTTTGTGAGTCGCAATGCGTTGCCCGCAGCCCGCTACCAAAAAGGGCGATATGCGATTGCAATATCAAATGCTTGGCCGAATTCTAAGCCACTCTCAACACGCTAGGCTCCTCCCCAAATGTTAGCATGGACATGGAGATGGGCATTCCAACGGGCATGTGCAGACTGCGATGCGCCGACGGGAGATCACGATCGCAGCGCCAAGCAAGAAATAAGAAAAAAACTGCCACTCCGGCACTAGTATATCCCACACCACCCCGCGCGTACTGTCTGGATGCTAAAAGATGCGCTTGTCTGTGGGATGAAAGGCGAAGCTATAAAAGTAGTCGGCCGCCAGGTCTGGTCGCATGTGTGACCACCACTTCTGTTGCGGCAAGTGTTCAAAATGACGTTGTTGGCAACTTGACTCCTGGGGGACCTTCCATAGCCTGAACTCGACACCAAACTCGCAGCGCAACAACCGCCAGGCAGTTATTCCAGGGAAATCAATTACCACGTACGGACACGAACAACAACAACAACTCCAACATCTCCCAACGCGGCATCGGCCCTGCAGATCCAAAGCTGTCAATTAGTCGGCATCCTGTTCCGTCCTGGCAGGGCGGCAGACGCGTGCAGATTACAAGCAGACAGCTAGCTGCACCAAGTGACAAGTTGGGCGACTCGCGGCTCCATCACCTGCGTCATCGGACGCCAAGCACCTCCCAAGCACCTCCCAAGCACCACCCAGAAGCACCGCCAAAGCACCATCAATCAACACTGACCACTAGCAACACCGAGGCGGGAAGACGGAGGATCTAACAAAGTCACCTCACCATTACTGCGCCAACACTTTGGACGACGACTCGAGTCGGTAGCTCGCCTCAAACACACGGCAACAACACGCTCGTTTTAGGTTTTGGCGATTCGCAGGGAACGCACCACACCACCACGGCACAACCAATACCACCACCACCACAACGTCACACCCCGCGCCGCCCCGTCCAACCTCAACAGAAGCACAAGCTGTCTGTACCTGTCACAGCGATTTTGCATTCAAAAGTCGTGGTTGCGCCCCGCGTTTTGAACTCGGGAGCCAAGGAACTGCATCAAGCAACACCGGAATGATGGCAGACAGCTACATTCCCAACGACAATGGCCTGGGAGAGGTGCGCATCATGCCCGAGTTCCCTTCCTGTCGCTTTGCTTGACATGTATATACACTAACCCATCTCTTGACTCTCAGATGCCCACCTCCCAGGTCCATCCGAACGAAGCCCTTCAAGCATGGGATACCCCAAATATTGTCACGAGTCCATGGACACAACCCGGCATGAGCGTTCCCATGCCCGTGGTAACAGAAGGAGTTCCCTTCAACGCCTGGGAAAACCAGCAGACACCAACAGGTACCCCGCGATGGGGCGGCCATGATCCAAATGCCTCCATGTTCGCCGCCGACTGGAGTGTTGCTTCAGTGACGCCTTCTCACGAACAATATCCCCATGGTGGCGACTATTTTGGCGCAGCAGCAATGACACACTCCATGTCGCCCGAGGATTCCATGTCCTACCCAAATGTTTCGGCGGGTTGGGAGACGGGTAGCCAGCCGGCGCTTTCTCCATATACCGAATTTCCCGACTTTGCGACCTTAAGGAGGAGCGAATCTGCCGAGGTCAAGATCGAACCCAACAACCAGCGCCTAGTACCGCTCATGCAAAAATCCAGTGTCAATGAACCAGCATCTCCAGGGGGTCAGGCTCGGAGAGCGGGGAAACAAAACCTGATGCCGACAGGGCCTCTTCACAGGAAGGTCAAATCAACCAGCAAGATCGGGAAACCGGACGTCAAGCCAAAGCTCGCGGCCGCAAGTGCGTTGAACACGGCAGTTCTCCAATCGCAGATGAAGCGGAAACACCCTGGCCCTATCCCCAACTTCCCAGGCCGACCAAACATTATGCAGACTATGCAGACCCATACTCCAGGAGTTAGCGGCCCTATGGCTTGGACGGCAGATTACCAGGTCCATCCACGCAACGCCTACTCGACACCAACGACACCTATTGGTGGACCCGGCGCTCAACCGATTACACCGATGGGAATGCCCATGGGGATGGGCAACGGTATGAACAATGGCATGAACAATGGTATGGTCAACGGCATGAGCAACGTCATGGGTAACGGAATGCCCAACAACGGCATGGGAATGGGCATGAACATGGGCATGCCAGTAACCAACATACACGGCGGCATGTCCATGCCCATGGGCACAGCTGGCATGGTGATGACCTCAGGCATGACCTCCCCAGCACCTCTCCCAATACCATCACCATACATGCAGCAACCACCACAACAACCCATGGTCGGCGGTCCCGGAGTAGGAATGGGAATGGGAGTACCAGGAGGTCCCGGCCAGCATCGACCCAGCAACACCATGGCCACGATAGCCATGAGCCAAGACCCGCGCGCAGCCGCCGAGCAGATCCGGAAGGACGCCTGGCAGGTGTGCGAGCGCGAGCGCGTCGAGATGCTGCAGCGCCGGCTGATGCTGACGGAACACGAGCGCGGCATGCTCGATCAGGAGACCAACATGTTGCAGCTCAACTTGGGCAAGATGCGTCAGGTCGTGGCGAGACATCATCAGGAACTGGAAGAGGCGGTCGAGCGGGCGAGGAAGTTGAATGAAGGATCCTCCTCTTCCTCTCAGGGCGGCCAGCAGGATGAGGACGAGGAGGAGGTCGCGGGGTTGCCACAGACCCAGGGGTAGGGACAGGAGTAACTGAAGACAGTTGAGGAGTAGAAATGCGGACTGGTCTCCTGTTGCGGTGACTGCTCGCTTTTTTTGCTGCTTGTCTTGTCTTCTCGGCTTCGATTCACTGACGCTCGACTGACCACTGTTTATGACCCGTGTACGTTAATTGTAATGATAATGACGGATACAAGGGATTGGGTAGGATGGGATTTGAATGGCAAGGAAGCTTCATTTGGATGTCTTCTGCCTGGGCTGGATTTTAAAGGCGTATATCGGCTGTTTGGTTGGCTCTTTGCTCAGATCTTGTTCTTTGGTGTTGGAACGATTCATCTAAACTATACACAAGAGAGGTGTTAGCGGTGCGAGTTTGTAGAATAGGGTGAGGCGGTTTTTTTTATCTTGTGTAGGTTGTCTTGAGTACCATATGGATATGGAGTACAAGCACATGAACCGGTTCCGAAGTCGGGTTTCCCTGTGCCATGCCGTATCGATCTGCCTACAATCCTAGATGAACAGGGAATGCAAGCGAACTCCCTGTTCGGCACTGTAGACAGGAAATGGACGGAGATGATGTGGGATATAACGATCGAGATACCTCAAAGAGCAACAAGCTCTGTTCGTTTTTTCTCATCACTCTACCGGCCACTTCAATCATATCTCAGCTTGGTCGACGTAAGTCTTCGCCCGCTTTCCATTCTCAATCACTTGTTTAGTTCGCCCTTTGCCAAGCATCCAAAGCTCATCATGATCCAAGCAGCGCCAAGCTCGCTTTTGAAGCCATCATCATCCACCACAAAAGCGGATTGCTAGCTTCCAAGCTTCATCTCGGCTAGCATTTCGATAGTTCGGGTTTCATAAAGCAGAGTTGACAGATGGTTGCCGTTCCCGAACCCGAAAACGTGCTCCGTTGCCATGAAGCCAAGATCCATCCCATCATCCATGCTCGCCATGGCACTTTGGCAGAAGACAAGGATGGCTCCCTGTTCGCGACGAACCGTCACGGAAAAGGGTCACCGAATCAAACTTCAAATGGTCGACCTCTTGGCCGACTTTCAAGTGGGTTGAAGTTACATTTCGCCTCCGGGAGGCTGGCGGGGCCGGGCAACACGTTTTGCCCGGAGATACATATCCCGTGCCGTCGCGCCTGTTTCTTCCCCTCATCTGGTCCGGAATTATCCCCACGCTGTACTGACCAATTGTGTCGCTGACTGGTCTGCCTGCCACGTTGAACTGCCGGCCTGCAGGTTCTTCTGCATACGTAATTGGCCGTTGAACGTGGGGATATTTCCGGGTCGAGAGAGAAAAAGCGATAGTGTGGTTTCTTCCGCTCGAATTTTTCCCGAGCCTTGCGTAAAATGAAGATCCCGTGCCTCAGTGTAACTTGATCGGATGAGATGAAAAATTCATGAGGGCGGGGTTGGGTGGGATGGGTATATATAATATGACGAGGGCATAGCGACGGAGTTGCAATATCGAAGCAACCCAAAACTCACCTCCCCAGCCAATCGCAACAGCAGCCGACTTTTCAAGACCTCCCATTTTCCGAAATCCACCACCGTTGGCACTTCTCACCATCATTGGACAGTGAACACAGAAGCCCAAGAGTCTGGCAACAGCATTTCAACATGTCCCAAACGGATCGAGTCCGCAGCTTTGGGCTAGCACTGCCGTAGCTTTGGCCAGGAGAATGAACTTTCAAGGTCGCAGAGTATCGGCCTCGATGCCTGTTTTTACCTGTTCCTGTTCACCGGTTAGCCAAATCCATGTCATTAACAGCCAGGTCGAACGCCTGCTACAACACCCTAGCAGAACGTGAAACAAAGCAGAAACATGCGATCTGTCAGATTCAAGGGTGGTTTTAGCCATACCATATGGAGGTTAGCGCTCCAGCCACCTGATATTGCCTGATTCTGGGCATATCTGGTTTACCCCAGCACCCCCCATACCTTCTGAGCAAGTCAATTACACACACTCTTCAATCAATCAATTCTACACTGTTATATTTGATAATTAATAGTCTGATTTGCGTATTTACGTTTAATGCTATAATTATCGATTATAAACAATATCCTTATGAAATTAATAACGTTAGCTATATCTTTATTAAAGGAATCTACCGATAAAGCTATTACAATTATCTTTAATACTCCTACTGATTAACCTAATTAATATAAAACTCTTAAAAGATTCGTTGGTAATAATTAGGATTTTGGTAATTAATTATTTAAAGGAGGATTTATAATTTAGAAGGTTCTACCCCCGAAGTTAAAAGATTTTTTTTTTATTAAGTAAGTAAAGGACCGCTTTTTGGTAGTAAAGAAGGAGTTCGTTAGATTTAATAGAGGAATCCGGGTTAAAAAGGCCGTAATTATAATTATAATAATTATTACTATTACAGCTATTAATACGAACGGTATTATTATTAAAATTATTACTGTTACCTAATTTTAAAAAGAAGCCGCCGCTAGCGTTAACGAAGATAATAAGGAAGGAAGTTTGGGAGAAGAAAACGAAGAAGAGGAAGAAGAGGATAATAAATATTATATTAAATAGAATATTAGGGAAGATATAATTATTAATCCTTCGACCGATTTAATAGTTACTAGGAAAATAGCGTATAATTGAATTAATAATATATATAACGCTTACTATAAATATTAGAAAAAATTTAACGACGCTAATACTTAAATTCGTAATTAGATAAATATTTATATCGCTATTTATTATACTAATACTTTATTTAAATAGGATAAATTTATTTATAATTAGCTTAGAGAAATTAAGAGTCAAATTAATTATTAACTTAAAAATTAAATCGCTAAAGTTCGTCGAAATTATTAAACCTTTATTAAAGAAATTATAAAGAAATAACTTGAGGATTTTGAGAAGTAGTTGTCCGATTAAGAAATCCTTATTATAAATGTGAAGAGATTTAGAATTCATAAAGTAATTTCCCTTATTTTATAATTTACCAATTTTATTAATATAGTCCGTGAATATAAGCGTATATAGGCTAGCAATTTTTAGAAGTTGGATAATAAATTCGGAGAGATATCCTTAAAATATAAGGATATATCTATTAATTTTAAAAGAGTTAATATATTAAAATATACTATACTATTAGTTAATTTTAAAAAGGTTATAGTTCGTAGCGTTTAGGGTATTGGCCGTTCTAGTTCGTAAAAATTCGCATTTAATAAAAAGGATACTCTTAATTCTAATTGTAAAAAGAAGCGGAAGGTAAACGTAAAGAAGAAACGTAGCGCGGATAAAAATATAAAAGATTTTTTACGGTTAAAAAAGAGAAGAGGCGCTACGCTATTTTGTAAAGTTTATAAGTAAGGCCATTATTTAATAATGCGCTATTAGTATTTAATACCTAAAATTAGGGATAATTCTAAATAGAAGTTAAGCGGCCCTATTTAGAAGTTTATTAGTAAGAATTTTGAGAAGTATCCTAAAATTAATAAAAAAATTGAAAAAGTGAGGAATTAAATACGGAACTGCTTTATTGCTTCCATATACACTATTATTTCGAAAAATTAAAGGAGACAAAAAATTAGTACCTACAATTTAATATTTCTCGTTAGATAAGGTACTTTTAATACGAGTAGCGGTAAGGGTAATGTTTATTTATTTAAGAATTTTATAATCTTCGATTCCGGGGCTTCTATTTATATTTTTAATGAGATTAATTATTTTTCTTTATTTCGAGCAAGGTCTTTAAAGGACGGCGTTTAGGCTAATAAAATTTAAATATTTATTAAAGGTTTTAGGATTATTAATGTAGAAATATAGGGAAAGAGGGGGATTTTAAGATTACAGTTAAAAGAAGTAACTTTCTACTTTAATTTTATTATAAATTTTATATTATTATATTTACTTTGAAAGTAAGGTCTTTATTAGAATTATAAACCCTTTAATAATTACCTCCGTTGGTTAGACGGCTTATTTTTTTATTTCTTTTAAGAAATTTATTATTAAATAGTTTTTGAATACCTACCCCTCTCCTTTAATTGCGCCGCTTTTTTTATTCGTAGAAATCGCTTTAATTCCTTTACCGGCCGTCGTATGTATAAAATACCTATTAAATTCTGGTATAAGTGATTCGGTTATTATAGTTCTTAAATTTTCGAATATTTTTATAATATTGAGGGTATTAGATTTAAAAGGCCCGCTATTTATTAATACGATGTATATGGTATTTTAAAAAAAGTAAATAATAAGTTAAATAAGAATTACTAAATAGGGGATTTGACCTAAGAAAGCATTTCGCCGTTGATTTCTTCGAATATAAAATAGAGAGAAATAGCTTTAAATATATTTTATTTATTATTTATCGATAAATTAAATTTATTTAGGATATATATATAGCGAACTAAATAATTGAAACTATTATTGGATTTTTTTCGGTTATTAAAATAATTAATTATTAATATAACGTTAAAATTAAATATATCGAATACAATAATAAGTTTAGTAGTTAACACGTTAAAGATAAATTAATTATACGTTGTATTATTTTTGAACCCTTAATATTTAATATTCAAATTTAAAACAGCGGTATTAAGCACTTAGGGGGTGTAATTAAAGCAAAGGCGCGTATGATAATAAATAGTATTAAATTTTTTTTTCACTTTTAGTTTCAAATTATTTTAACTTCGGTTTATTTTACTAACCGATTACTTAAGTATTTCTATAATTAGAAATTATTATACGAACGGTTTTATACCTTTATAATTTACTATAAGGGGGTATAAACCGAGCCCCGTAAATTTAACTTTAATTATTTACGTATTTACGGCTATAAAGTGTATATAATAGCGGATATTACATAGAAAAAAGAGTAATAGTATAAAGAATTTTAATTAAAGGCTTAGATCGGATTTTTTATCAGCTACGCTGCCTCTTCTATTTACTAAATTTAGAACCTATAAATGAATTATATTATTTATACTTATAATATACTTTTTAACGAAGATTTAATTTATTCAGGGAACCCTAATGATTTTAAAGAAGATTTAAGGCTAATTAATAATGAGATTACCGATTTATTTAATTAAATTAATTAATTTCCTTAATTATTTATACGATATTTCGAACCCTTTAATGCGATTTAAAATATAGAAGATAACGGTCTTACTCCTCGCTTATTATTACTCTTCGATAACGAACTCCAAAAAGATAGTAACGAAATTATTTTGAATTTAATAGAGCCTACCGTTTAAAGTAAAATATTTATCGATTTTATATTTCATTAATTTACC